GGTCTTCCGTTGAAAACGGAAGACCTAATTAGGTCGTGTTTTGGCTGACTTGTTTCCTACCAATTGTTAAGTCTTTGATTTTGTACTGAATTGACTCCGGATCAATACATAGGGCCCACGGCGGGTGTGACCGGTCAAAGGAGATGCTTACTCCTCCTAGACACCTGATCCACTTCTAGAATTTCCAGGGGGTTCGTGTTTTATGCCCTCTTTACATGTTTGTTTTGTTTGTGGATTTTTAGGATTGATCGCTGTTCGTTATCTTTTCCTTTTACATCTTATTACTCCAGATTTCCTTTTATTTTGCTTTATTATTGATTTTTTTTTCAGAATTAAAACAAATATCAAGGGACATTAAAATCTTATATATTTTTTATTTCAAAAAGGAGGGAAAAAAACGAAAGAAAAAATATTAAAATGGAAAATACTGCCCCATAGAATATGTTGATAAAAATGATAAAGAAATAATAAATGAATGATTTGTTAATAAAAAAAAAAGGTTGAAGAAATAATTTGAATTGCATAAATAATTGAAATAGTATAAACACATGTAATTTAAAAGGAAATTATTATACGTAACTGAATAAATATTAAATAAAAAATTTAATAAATGAAGTGTTTTAGGATTATAGATAGACTGCATGATGAAATAAGAAATAATTAAACTTGATTTTTTTTTTAAATTGTTTAATCAACAATTCTTAACTGTAAATATGTAATTGCTACATAATCACTGCCTTCATATAATCAATGTGCTTGTTAATTTGAGTTAATTAACTGGTAAGAAGGTATTAAATGAAAAAGTCTAAGCGAAAATATGACAGGCTTTGATTTTCTTAATCTTTTTTTAACTTGAGAAAGGTCGATGGTAACAATTTAGGGTTGATCAGAAGGTTGTAAACCAAAAAATCTTAACAATTATGTCGGTTTTGTTTATTTTATCTTGTGACGGAGAGCCGTCACGGTATCTCACGGTGGTAGAGCGCCTGTGATCGGAAGGTCGTGTGCTCGAATCACGACTGCGATTGACATAAGTCAACATAAAATAGGTAGCAAAAGTTCCTTCGCCAAGAGCCCGGCACATTGAAGTGAAAGTTGCGGGTCTTTTGGATGAGACCTTAAAAATCGAGGCCCCGTGTCACAGTAGACGTTGACACGATAAAAAACCCTCACTGCCCAATGGCCCTGACTGCCGAATAAAGGTGTAAATTTGAAGCCCTTCACTGGTATATGGTGACGTCTCTATATGAGTGAAAAATTTTCGAACGGGTCGTAAAACAACATACATCTATTTCCAAATGTTCTGCAAAAAACCGTAAAACATGTAATGTTTTGATTACAAACTGTTCTTTTACTAGCAATTTGACAGGACATAGCTTCTGTACCAAAACTTTGGAAAATCTGAAATGCAAATCTGCAAATGTTGTCTACGGAATAGAATGTAACCTTAGTAGGCTTATTTATGTTGGTGAAACAAAGGGTTCACTTCATAAAAGAATATCGGGTCACAGACTTCAAATTAAAAACGGGGGCCAGCAGTTTCTCTACAAGCACTGTAATTTACCTGATCATTCTATTCTATCAATGAAAGTTAGAATTCTAGAAAAGATTTACCATCATACTAATAGTCCACCATTGAGTACACTTTTCTGTAAACAATGAGAAGAATACTGGATTAGGAAACTAGGCACAATCTTCCCATATGAAAGCAATGACAATGTTGATAGTATTGGGAATCTTTCAAGTCCACAGTGTAGCAATGTGGATGTGATGGGATTTTTTAACAATACTCAGAGACGTAAGCGTAGTCATAGACATCGGTCATACAATAAACCTATTATACATGATGCTTCTTTTGATTCACTACTACCTTATGTAAATAAACAGTTAGGTCTTCATCACATTCGTATCAACCTTTACTCTGTCCGTTTGAAAGGTCCAGGTTATTCCATATTTGGATTCTTCGACACCAGGAAACAGGCTTGGATCTGTGATTTTGGATATTGCAAACCATAGGCTTTTTAAACCTTCACGTTTTACGGAAGATAATACTGCTCAACCAACACGTTTGTTCCTTAAACTTTAATTTTTAAACAAAGAAATCGACACAGTTAATATTAGAAATATTCTTACCCAGTAATCACATAAAGGGCCAGTGTTGTATTCCACCATACTTCAAGTTGAAGTCCACGCCTTGTATTTTTTATAATATACATCGACTACTATTGCTTCCAAACTTTTTAATTAGAAAAAAAAAACTCTACACTGCCTAGATTTCGAACATCTGATTCATAATCCTCATATGTGTTCATGTTCTTCACCCTACAACTATAGCCCTGCTGGACATGTCATTACTGGTGATGTAACCATAGTTAATAATGAGGACCTTAAATCCCTTATTTTAAATTTAGGGAACCCCGATCTTTCAACTGGCGTCATAATTTTATAAATATTATGAATTCTGTGGGAGATTAAGACAGGTGATGGGCCAAACACGAAAAAGAAGACCTTGTCAGAATGAATTAAGAGCACCAGATGGATATTGAAATCTCACATTAAGCGATTGAGGGGCTGTATGAAAACTAATTATCCTTCTGTCTTTAATAATTCAGAAGTGAAAAAGAATTAGATAGATTACACGATCAGTATGTACTAGTCCCAACTGACAAAGCTGGTAACAACATAGTCTTTGTTAAGGCTCATTATTTGAATTGTATTTTAGAGGAATTAGGATTTAATTCTGCAGTTGGAAATCCAACTTTCACCAATAGCTCCTTTTCTAAGGAGGAAATTATTCAAAGTCATATGTCCGTTCTAGATATTTTTAACATTCCCAATAATCAAATAAATTTGAATTACTATACCTTTACTGGATTCCTAAACTTCATAAAAATCCTTACAAACAAAAATACATAGTGGGTTCCGGTTAATGTTCTACCAAGCCTCTTTCTTTACTCCTCACTAAAACATTTACTGTAATGAAGGAGAAATTTCAGAAGTACTGAACAACAGTGTATACGAGAAGTTGTGTAAATCAGATGTGGATACTTACAATGTATAAAACTCCAAGGAACTTTTAGACAATTTGAAATCACAAAGTTTTACTAAAATCAATAACATTAAAACGTACGACTTTTCAACGCTTTATACAACCATTCCCCACGATAAATTGAAGTCTAGGCTTTTTGACATCATAGACAACTGCTTTTTCAATAAAATGGAACTCTTTAATATACTTACCTTGTAATTGGTCATTTGCAAAATTATTTTTTAAAAAGGCATTCTGTAAACACAGGTACTATGAAGTTAATATTAGAAGGATGCGTTAGTTTCTGATTGACAATATCTATGTAGTTTTTAGAGATCAGGTCTTCCAAAAACTCGACATTTCGACAGACACAACTGTTTCATATTTAGATATTTTACTAGAAAAAGACGTTAATAGTAACCTAACAACAAAGCTTTATGATAAACGTGACGACTTCAACTTTTCAATCGTCGACTTCCCTTACTTATGTAGCAATATACCTTTATCACCTGCATATGGGGTATATGTCTCTCAGTTGATTTGATACGCAAGAGAATGCTCTACGTATGAACAATTTCTAAAACGAGGCAATCTATTGACAAACAATTGATGAAACAAGAATATCAACAGTCTCGTTTGAAGTCATCATTTCGCAGGTTTTATGGTCGATACAATGACCTTGTCAGCACATACAATCCTATCATTGAGTCAAATGCTGACTGACGATTTTCATACTAATTGTTAGGCCATCATTTATACACTGAACTGTCTGCGGATTTTTCCGGTTTTTATCTTATAAAATCACTTTCTATTCTTGTACATAATAGTTTAAAGGTGAAAAGATTACTGAGTCACAAAATGCAAACGGAAATGTCAGTCTAAAAAGAGACATTTAAAAATGTAAGCCACCCCCTGCTTCACTAGATTGATTGATTGATTGTGAAATATGAATATAACGAACAGTATTCAATCTCGAAAGTCCCATGAAACAATACAAATATTAGAGCAGAGCAAACACGGACCTCCAAAATTATCATAGGTGGGATCAGGTGCCATGGAGGAATGAGCATCCTCTGCCCGTGTGTTCCTTGTCATGATCGGAATAATCCGTCGACAATTCAATGTGTAAATAATGACCTAAATCATCACTGAAAGATAAATATTAAATGATAATAAATAAATCGTATAACTTTTTCTTGGATCGATGTATCAAAGAAAACTTTGACGGAAAACTTCATCAATGCGCCTAGCACACAAGAAAAATCTTTTAAAGGCATCAATCAAAGAAATATGAAAGCATCCTCAGTTAGTGTACATTCAAGCTTGTTCGAATTATTCCATCTCCCCTCCCCCTGGGGTAAGAGGTCGGTCCCACGTATATAAATTTTTCAATGGTGAACTAATTTCTTATTTTTTCTGGCCAAAATGAATGGTGTGGCCCATGGGCCTCTTGCTTGAACTTGACCTCACTTTTCTCAAATTTATGTTAAACTCAATTTAAAGGATATCATTCAAGATATTTTTATCAAATTTAACATGCTGATACATATTGATGAGAGCTATCCTTTACTTCAACATTTTTACCTTGACTTTCCTTTGACCTTGACCTCACTTTTCTTTACTTTGCATTTAGCTCAGTTTCAAAGAAGTTATTCAAGATATTTTCATGGATTCATTATTAGGAAAGAATTATTCAATTGTGCCCCAATCCCCCCCTCCCCCCCCCCCCCCGGGGAAAAAAACAAACCAAACAAAACAAAACACTGACTGCAGTTATTTTTACACTGGAATCAAACTTTATTTTACAGTTATTGAATGATTTTTTGAAAAATGCTGGTGGATTTTCAATTTTGCTAGTAAATGCTTTTGCCACTAGCTAAAGTTTGCTCATGGACATTAAAGTTAATTCTGAAACCTGATATCATCCTCTGCTTTTATTAAATATATATTTTTTATGCTTTTCTTTTTTTAGAACCAGATCCACCTACCAATCTTGCCTGTCCACAACAACCAAAGGACATCTCTTTAGAAATATCATGGATGCCTCCCACGAATCCTAATGGACAAATTGTGAGGTACCAGATTCATGTGAATCTTGGGGATCGCATCATTGACACACCAAATAATGCTACAAGTTACAATGTTGTGGGTTTAAGTCCAGGTATTTTTATCCTTTTTAATACCACAAATAAAACCTTATAGTAGAAGAATAATTGTTCACATATATTTAATCTTTCTCGGCCTTACCTTTGAAAAGCAAAAAGGAGATTTCTAATTTTAACCATCATTCTTTTCTTTTAATTTAGCTCTACTGATTATTTTGAAAAAAAGTGTTGCTGTGTTTACCAAAATATAATACTTGAATTTTTTTCAAGGCAGTTTTTTTCTTCTTAAAAAATAGCAAGAATGTGTTCAGAAATAAAAACAATGAGGTTCAAGATTTTGTAAAGAACTTAGGTAAAAAGAATTTCAAACTGACTCATGTCCGGGGGAAAAGTTTCCACAAATATTGTCCACTTCAATTTTCAGTAATGTTGTGTAAAACTTTGTGTCAAATGAATGTTGTCTTTTGTCTGGAAGAAAATTCAAATGAAAATTGAAGTCTTCTGCACATTTTTAGAAAGTATGGGAAAATGTACAAGTTTAAAAAATTTCAGAAGTAGCAATTAGGAGGTCATACAATACAGTTTTTGCCACTCCACTATGGAAAACGGTGTAAAATGTCCTATGATATACCGTGTACACGGAATTCCATAATTTGTGCATTTTGCGATTATGCCAAAGACACACTGGTTATACCATGAATATTTCCATTTCTCTAGGGGACCCTTCATGTACCACCATTCAAGAAATTAGAAAAGGAATTGGTTTCTATATAAAAATAATTTCAGAATTGAAATTATGGATATGATTGTTTAATAGATGGGAAAAAAAATCGAAAAAAAAATATTTAATTCAAATAGCTCATGATCGTAAGGTCATTAGGGTAACACAGCAGCAAGTGTTTATTTGTTTTTATTGTTTAACGTCCCTCTCGAGAATTTTTCACTCATATGGAGACGCCACAACTTGCCGGTGGAGAGCTGCAGATTTTGACCTATACTCGGCACTGAGGGCCATTGAGCAGTGAAGGATCTTTTACGTGCCAGCACCTACTGCGACACGGGACTCATCCGAAGGACCGGTTTCCGAGTCCCACAGTGGGATTTGAACCCGCGACGTAAGGATCAACTCCTTACTCCGCTTCGCTAGAGCGAACGCTCTAACCACTGCGCCACGCGGGAGACCAGCAGCAAGTGGAAACTTTGATTCGCCAAATAATTTTACTGTGGCGATACTTTTGGTATTTTAACTATGGAACTAAGGAATTGACTTGTGGTGGGGCCGCCACATTCAACTGCCAGTGGAGATCGAACCCTGTAAGCTAATGTATTCTACATCTAGTGTTAAAATATTTAGAAAAAAAAAACATCAAGAAATAACTTCAGGGATCCCACAAGTACAGATTAGTGAGTTTGAATCAATTGTAAACTAACAGCCAGAGTTTGACACTAACAGTAAAACCCAATCACATTTCCAAAAACGACCAATAGCTGACTTTTTTTGAGAAAAAATAGGATACTTCGGGCTACAAGGCTTGTCTTGATCGATTTTGACATCTTTCTTTCGTCGGCCGACCAATTTTGTGTCCGTCAGGCTAAGTTATAATTTTTGCTGCTACGGAGGCCGATTCTTTCAACTGAAGCAGTCGTTGAAAAGTCCATCGATCAACCTTTGATCATCATCCGACCATCGGAGAACAGTTAGTAGCCGGTCGGGCAATAATGGAGGGGTTTTTCGTAATTGCCGGCTGACGGTGAAAATCAAACTGCGCCTCAGCAAACAATGACTGGGCAACGGCTAGCCGACTTCAATTTTTTTTTAACTTTTGAGGGCATCGGTTTTCCTAGGAATTAATGTGACTACTCTGCGTCGCCCGATACAAGTGTCGGCCAGTTATGTTTTTTCAGCCGACGATAGGAACAAATTTGGTCGGCTGACCATAGGCTTAAATGTGACCTAGATATAAACTACTAGCCCGGGACATCTGATAACCTAAGGCAAGCTACTTAACAAGTCATAAAGGTTGCTCTGCGGGGCTATTGAAACTTTGTATCATCACGTTCGCTGAAAACAGTTAAAAAGTTCTAGTATACAATGTATTTCGAATTTCTTAGCGAAGCTTTCATACTGTTTGAGTTATTGTTCAGAAAAGTCTTACTGTCGCCTTTGTTATGACCTGACCTTATTTTAGACTGAATAATCAATAAATTTTATATGTCTCTTCTGAATCATCAGCTTACTGTTTGATACTATGGTGTCAATATGGACAATACAGGTAGTGCTCTGACATAGACAGTTGACCAGGAAAAATATGTCTTTGTACTCAATTATGCCTAAAAATATAGCAGCCAGAATGCAGGGAAGACATTCATTGCAAGATCTCTTAGCACTTCAATTAAATATTGCAGATAAATGCATGGGATAAAAATTATTCATTTTAATGAATTTTTAGATTTTATATAACAAAAATACGTATATGACTGTGTTTTCAGGTAACATTCAATTTGATTATATTAGTCCTCTCTGAATAAAAATATTGCCCTCTGCTCCTGGTCAGGCAGTATTTCAACCCAAGGAGGCTAACGTAATGTTGGCCCCAACCTCATTCAATATTTGTAAGTTAAAGCCAGACCTTTGATTATTAACTCTTATTTTATGTTTCAGAGAAAATGTATAATTTCACTGTCAGGACAATCAATGATGCAGTGGACACAAAGAATGTTAGTGATTCCAGTGGGGCTATCAACTGTTCAACAAAAGCTGGAGGTAAACAAAAATTAATGACAATACAGACTGAATTTCGAAAATGAAAACTTTGAGATAACGAAGTATAAGCCATTGAGAGTCACCTATGTATTTAAAAAGTATTGGATAGGATTAGGTACTCGCAACAAAATAAGGAGTTGACAGATTCAACAGATGAGATGTTTGAGAAATCTTGATTTTTTAACAACTTCATTGCAATTAATACTTGGCATAGAAGATGTGCTACTGTGTGTTTACACACATGACAAGATATCGAATCGAAACCCAACAGTGGCATAAATTAAGCCACTAAAATAAAACTAGTTTAGATACAAGGAAATTTAAAAAAAAAAACGTTTTATTTACTGAAAACAATAATATTACTCAAATAGCGTAAAATAAATAACAATACATTATTTGCCAATAAGACCCTATGTACTCGTCTACAAGTCAGATATTTGAAACTTGAGATAAATTTTTTTATTATATATTTGTAATATAATACAGGGTTTTTGCATCCCTGATATGAACACAAGCACGCGCCCTGTAATACACACCCTGTATCGGCACCCTTTATTTTACCCTTTATCACACCCTTTATTACACCTATCCGGAACATCTCTGTATTTTTCATTCGGAGTACCTCGGATCTTTTTCTATTAATTTAATTGTTAATGAAGTTTATTTAAATTGTAATCTTATTTCATCGGGTATTTAATGTTGTTCAAAATAATTATTTTTTAAATTTGTAATTATCTCATTTCTTATCACTGAATGTAATGCCTTTGGAAAAAAAATGAGAAATGGAAATTCAACAAAAACAGAACCCATTCAAATTATTAAAAATTCAGTAATTAATTTACAAGTTTATAAATGATTTTAAGACACTATTTTCAAATATATAATAAAAACAACAATACATGATAAAATCTGTATCACACCCCATATCAACCCTCGACCAATATCAGCCCTCTGGCCTTCGGCCCTCGGGCTGATATTGGAGTCTCGGGTTGATATGGGGTGTGATACAGATTTTGCCATGTATTATTCTCTATATCCTAACCTTTTTATGCGACTTATAAGTAATTCGTAGTAAAATTGGTATATTTCGGGAAGAGGGAATAAAGTTATTTTGAATTGGAATAACTCCAAATATAAACTTCTTTTTTTTACTGATTATAGACGACAACGGCCAACTAACAACTAAATTGTATGACAAACGGGATTTCAGTTTTTCCACCGTCAGCTTTCCTTATCTGTGTAGTATTATTCCGCTATCACATGTATACGGTATTTATGTCTCCCAGCTATTTAATACTCAGGAGCATGTTTTAAGTACGATCAATATTTAAACCGGATCATCGGGTGATATTTAGCTGACGAGTTTCATACCACTTGTTAGGTCTTTTTTAAATACTAGATTTTACTACGGAATGTTTCGTCTTCCAGATCAATACATGGGGCTCACTGCGGGTGTAACTTACAACAGGGGATGTTTACTCCTCCTTGGCACCTGATCCCACCTCTGGAATTTCCAGAGGTCCATGTTTTATACCCTGTTCACAAATTTATATTGTTTGAAGATTTTTATGAGATCGATAACTGTTATCTTCTCCTTGCTATCATAGGCGAGTAGACAGTAATCAAAATACTATTCAGGTTAGATTTTAAATTACAAACCTATAATAGTCATTCTATACAACACTAAAATAAAGACGAGAATGTCTATATTAGAAAAAAAACTCTATGATATTGAAATGATCAACAAATTGTAAATTATTATGTTTGCGTTAAATGTGCTTTTTGATCTGCATAACCAGGTCTTATATACTTTTAAAATGATATAAACATGTGTCTGTATAGATTTTGACTCCATTTACTACAATTCATGTTGCATGAGTTTGAAGTCTCAATCTTAGTGAACGAAGAAGGAAAATGGACTGTAGGTCATGTGTTTACTCTTTGCTGATTCTGGATTCCAAGAAAATAAAAGGAAATAAATTATTCATCTAATGATATTTTTCCAAGATATGCATCATACATGTAATTAAAATTAAACAAAGAAAAATAAGTCTAAAATATTTTCATAAACTCCAGATTCTGTCAAACTTGTCAGTGTTCGTGAAACCTTTAATTTGTACCCGATTTGGACAAATTATATTGTACATTGATGGAATTAGATTCCTGTAAAAATTTTGCAGAGATAATTTAATGAAATGTATTATTTTGACATAATTTGACATCTTATACTGATGAGAATAACATATCAATAAACGGGAGGTTGATAAATAATATGAAAAAAGTCAGAGCTATTTAAAGTATTTTTTTCAAAATTTTTTGAACAAGATAGTTTTTCTGGAAATATTGGCATTCCCATTAACTTTAAATTTCAGTATCTTCTCCTCCAACTCAGCTAAGTGTAAATGAAGTGCAGAGCAGAGGGTTTCAGGTTAGATTCGGAAAACCTGAAATTATTACTGGCCAGTTAGCCGCATACAAAATAATTATCCTGGAAGGATTAGACTGTGTACAACAGATAATAATTGAAGGAAACTGTCCACAATGTATGGTAAGGAACAGATACATGTATATACAAAACATATTCAATGTTTCGTAGTTGACTATGGAATTAATTTCATGAATGGGATAGAATTTAGTTTTTAAATATTTTGTTGAGTGTGAACCACGTAAAAATTATTTCACAAGAATTTTGTTGTTTTTTTTACATTAATTTTCTATTTGCCTGTGTTTTCATTATGACATAGTGCTGTAGACTATGACATTATAAATGAACAGTTGTGAGACGAACGTCCCAAAAGATTGTAAGATTGAAAATTGTAGACTTTGGTTTTATCAACAAATTTTGAGAAACTTCTGGCTACTTTAGTCTGTGTCAAAATTGTTTGGTTACTCTACACATTTTCTACAGGGAAGAGAAGTCTAGAGTTTTGGCTGCGATTCTTATCTTTTTCAGTAAAAATATCACTTTTAATCAAGAGATAAAATATAGTATCTCACCGTGTTGAAAATGCAATAAACCATTTTATCGATATGTCTTGAAGAATTCTGCCAATTTTCAGATATACCACTCCCAAAAGCATAGTATAATAATGTTATAGAGTAAATAGTGTAAATATTATTGTTAAATTTTTTTTTTTTTGAATAAAAATCGTGTGTTTATATCATTTGAATGTCTAATTACAATTATTTCAGATCAATTAAGCTTGTTGAGTGCATATTACATGTAAATGATTACAATTATATATATCACAGTATCTGGGCTAAAATGATATATTGATAAATTTTTAACACACCTCAACTCTAAAAAAATGAAAATTTCAACATATGTTCAAAGAGTTGAGAATTTACAACTTGTGCCCCTCCTCCCTCCTTCCCCCTAAAGCAAATGGGTTTTTAAGTTATATTTTTTTTTAGGTAGGTATCATAACCATATCTGGATAAAACTTGCAGGGATGATATATCTAGGAAAGAAAACCCCTTTCCAGACTTGCTTTGAAAATGCTGTACCTGACTATAATTATTAGCTTACCTCAACAAAGTCAAGATGAGTTCATGCTATACCCCCGGTGTTGGTATCAATGTCAGCATTGTAAAAGCCTGTTAAAGTTTTAGGAGCAAGTCCATTCCAAAATAATTATAAGCAAACCTGGACCAACCTTGCATGGATTATGCATCTAGGGATGAAAATTTCATTAGGAATGAATAGTTCCCGATTTGCTTCGGATGCTCGATCTGACCAACATTTCCTAGATGAATGAAAAGGTTAAAGTTTTAGGAGCAGGCCCATTCCAAGGTAGCTTTAATGATCCTTATAGTAACGAAAGTCGCATTGATGATTCCTCTAAGGATGCACAATACGAGACATGCTTTGGATCCTGGATTCATCCTTAATTTTATGGATGAATGGCCAGGTTAAATTTTTCGGAGCAAATCCATTTCCAGGTAACTATAATCGATAGCCATAGTGACCAAACTTGCATGGTTGATGCATCTAGTGATATACACCACCAGACTTGTTTCAAATCCTCGATGTGACCTTTTTTTTCTAGATTATTGAATAGGCCTTTTTTTCAACAAATTTATTTCCAAGTCCCTATACGAGGGCTGTCCAAAAAATTTTCTCGGACATATGCTGTATTTTTGTCAACATTAACTACACTGCAATGTGTATGCAATAATATTTAATCTTCAGCATACATACTTTGTATGTACAAGACGCACGGCCCAGTCCAATGTTAAACCACTTTGAGTTTCATCACAAATAGTGGTCTCCTACTTTTTGAAAGGTTTACAAGTGAGTGTGATAATGTTAGTATTTCACAAATTTTGATATATATCATGATGATTAAATATATAAAAACCGTCGCAATACACAATATTTTATGACTGTTATTAGCATTAATACTTTGTATATACAAAAAGCACGTTAACTTTCATCTTCGCTAGCCAAGGGTTTCTGGTACGCTACTCTCCTCATAAACCCTTGGCATACGGTGCTGACAAAAGACGGGATTGTTTTTGTCACGTGATCATGATTCTTACCAGGTACGCAGAGATTGCGTCATCGACAGAAATAAAAAGCGTATTTAAAAAAAAATTGTTTTTAAAGAATAATTAACAAGAAGGTATTGAGTTATGTTAATTTGTTATTTAAACATGTAAAAATGCAAATCTACATCTTCAGTATAGATTCTTAATCACATATTTTGCACGTTGCTTTAGAAATTGGATGACACCATACTGCTATTCATAGAATGGCATGTTATCTTACGGATCATTGTTTACTTGCGTTTTACATTACCGATATTAAAGAGTCAAGATATATCCCGAACGCAAATATCGTCATTTACAAAAAACAATTGCTGATTGGTCGAACGATGTCGATCAACTCCAATCACAACTTGAGAAAAAAATCGCAACTTTTTTTAACACCGTATGCCAAGGGCTTATTAGGAGAGAAGCGTATAAGAAGCCCTTGGCTAGCGAAGATGGTTAACTTTATGAGTATCAAGTTAATGATTTTAGAGCAGGTCCCCATTCAAAAGTTACTGTATAACGCCTAATGGTAACATCAGGACTATGTACTTGGTTTGCTTGCTAGATGCCTGGTAACAGAGGAAAAAAATGCATTATTAAAGAATTAATCATCATGCATTTTTAGCTCACCTGAGCTGAAAGCTCAAGTGAACTTTTCTGATCACATTTTGTCTGTAGTCCGTCTGTCTAGTTGTCTGTCTGTCCGTCAGTCTGTCTGTAAACTTCACATTTTCGACTTCTTCTCCAGAACCACTTGGCCAGTATCAACCAAACTTGCCACAAAGCATCCTTGGGTTAAGGGGGTTAAAGTTTGTTCAAATGAAGGGTCACGCCCTCTTCCATGGGGACATAATTAAAATTTAGTGAAAAATTAATACCATCTTTTAAAAATCTTCTCAATCACATGGCTAGGAAAGATGAAACTCATGTGGAACCATCCTCAGGTAGTGAAGATTCAAGTTTGTTCAAATCATGACCCCCGGGGGTAGGGCGGGGCCACAATGGACGATCAAAGTTTTATATTTAAATATATAGGAAAAATCTTTAAAAATCTTTTTCTCAAGAAAAGCAAAGTCATGATTGGTCATATTTATGTGGAAGCATCCTCGGGTAGTGTAGATTCTATTTTATTCAAATCATGATCCCCGGGGGTAGGGTGGGGCCACAAAGGGGGATCATAGACTTACATAGGAAAATATAGGAATATATTTTTTCTCAAGAACAGAAAAGCTATGTTTAGTCATATTGATATGGAAGCATCCTCAGTTAGTGTAGATTCAGTTTTGTTCAAATGATGACCCCCGGGGATAGGTGGGGCCACAATGGGGGATCCAAAGTATTCCATAGGAACATATTGGAAAAAATTTTCTTCTCAAGAACAGAAAAGCTATGTTTAGTCATGATATGGAAGCATCCTCAGTTAGCGTAGATTCAAGTTTGCTCAAATGATGGCCCCTGGAATAGGGGGAGCCACAATGGGGAGTCAAATTTTTACAAAGGAATATATAGGATTTTTTTTAAAAAGTCTTCTCAAGTACAACAAAGCCGTTTGTTATAATTGACATGGAAGCATCATCAAGTAGTTTAAAATTCAAGCCCCCCCCCCCCCTCAATCTTTTCAATACTGGACTGATTTGTGCTTTTGCCTACCCAGTGAGCTCAGGTGAGCCTCTTGTTACTGTATGGAGCCCCACCTTAAAACCAGAATCCGGACACTGACATATTGTTTAGAATTTTTTCTCTGACACCTAAAAGATAATTTCAATGTACCTCAACAATTATCCATATCCCAAGATCTGTGAAATCCACTAATATCATTTGGGTCAAAACTTGCACACTACTAGACGTGGTTCAGATGCTGGATGAGACAAACATTTTCAGAATGAGTAAACAAGTTAAAGTTTTTGGAGTGGGCCCATTCCCATTTACCTATAAGCCCTATGATGACCAACCTTGCATGGATGATGCACCCGAGGATGCATCTTTCAAGACAACCTACATTTGCTGGAGGAATGAACAGGTAAATTTTTAAGAGGCTCATTCCAAAGTAACTATACGCCCTATAAGGTGAATAAAAATCAAGATACGGTAAGACGGTTTTTGGTACCTGGTTAAGATACAATGTAATAGTCCGTAATTGAAAACCTATTGCCATCCCTGTTGTAAAATCAGCATTGATTCTAAGTGATGTGATACACAGAGGTCACAGGGAGGTCACAAATTATATTTTCCGAATTTTTTCATTTTATTCTAATTTTCATCAATTTTTATGCACATTTTGTTTTAGAAAAAAAGCAAAAGTTTGCATGTCTTCCAAATTTATATACTAGTATTCCAAGCACCAGTATTAGATAAATTTTGTGTATGAAAATCTCACATAGGCAAGCTTGTGTTTTATAATGCTGAATTTAAAACACGTACCACTTAAAGTTTTTAATTGCAAACAATCATAGATAGATCTGATATAGATTCATAACGCCAGCCTTAAAAGTAGCAAGTACAATAACCAAATTATACATAAAAACTTATAAAGGTGTTTTGAATACATGCACATGCACACTACAAAGAATGGTTTTAAAAAAAAAAATTACGCATAAGAAAAAGCCTCGGAGATAAATATAAATACATGGATGTACACAAGGTAAAAATAAATGTTCACCATAATGGATATAAAAGACATTAAAAATCTGTTTACTAGCAGCTTTCAGAAAAAGTTAATTATTCCATTGGCTTGGTATACATCAGAGTACTAGGCTTTCTAGTGGGGGTAAATTCTAAGGCCTTTGGGTAGGAATAATTTTAACTGTGTTTTGATTATTTTATCTAACGAGGGATCAAAGTGGCCGTTACCATCCATGTCTTATCCTTTGCATAAATGATGCATTTAGAGACGCATCCTACCAAACCGGCTCCAGAAGAATGAACGAAAATGTGAAAGGTTTTGAAGCAGGTCTGTTCCTTTGTAACTATGAACCATGGTAACAGTGATCACACTTGCTTGGGTGATGCATTCGTTTTACTCTTTAGAATATGTCCTTTATTTTCTGGATGAGTTGCTTTGTTATAATTGTATGAGCAAGCAATTTCAGGTATCTACAAATCATGCCAGCTTGACAAAACTTGCATGGATGATGTAATTAGGGATTTATGCTTTTGGATGCTATATTTGACTCATTCTAGAGTATGGCTCAATTGCTGCATTTGCAGGTGATATTTATTTATGTGAGCTATGCATTGCTGAATTGTAATATTTTTAAGAGTACAAATGGTTGTCCATACACTAAGACTGAAACAAGACTTGATATAACTAAGCCTGTGATATACCCAGCTACAGGTCTAAAACCTTACACCAAGTACATTGTGAAAGTAGCAGCAGTGAATGGAAATGGAGAAGGACGCTTTAGTAATGCAACGGCCAAGACTGATGAAGAAAGTAAGCAATTACATAAATGATATAACTCTTAGATTCAATAAACATGCATCATGCAGAATTGGAAAACAAGATTCAAAGTTAATACACTCTTTACAATTTACACTAATACTATTTTTTGTGTATAAATGGTTTGCTTAACTGTTGAAAATAAAAACAAGGAAGCATCATTTAATCGTATAATGTGAGATAAGATGAACAGACTTATACAGGGTACATACATTCATAAAGTTTTCAAGAAAAAAAATCAACTCTAAGGTTGGCTTTGACAAATAATGCTGTAATGATTTTATAAATCATCCTTGTTTAGTATCACCAACATTCAATTAAAATAATAACAATATTATATGTACATTAATAGTTATATAATACAAGAGAATTGAAAGAATATAAAATTTCAGAAATTAAACAACAGTACAAAGTTTATGCCCCTGTAGACTTAATTTTTTGATGATGTTTCAAAAGAAATTGGATCTTCTTGCTAGTATGCAAACATTCGAAATCTTGCTGACACTTAAAACTTTCTTCAACATTAAGTTTTATTTTTTTCTTTAGCATTAAACTTTTTTATCTTGCACCAACTGTGAAAGTCTTCTTAAATAGTTTGTTACCTTTAACCTTTTACCTCTAACTTAATCCTAATATTATTCAGTTCCACAAAAGCCTGGGCAGATAGCTGCAACACATATAGAAGCCAAAAGTCTGACATTGTCCTGGAGTGTAGCATATCCCTCACCTGGAAACACAACATACACTATATATGTGTATGAAGGAACTGATGATACTGGAATGAACTTTAACCTGAGACAACCAAAACTGAACACATACGGTGTGTATGAATATTCCTTATTATGAAATCTGTAGGCAAAAATTTATGTTTCATAACTTGTTCCAAGTTAGGTGTCAGTTTTTTTCTAACTCAGTTTCAAAAACAAAAGTCAAGTGTCTTTTGATGATTAAAAAGTATAGAATAAGAAAAACATTTTAGATGTATTTATTTGTTGTACAGTTTTAATTGATTTTTACAGTAATTGTTGCTTTTCTGTTTATTTCAAAAATTGTCAATCGTGATCCTCGTTGTTTGGGCAGCATTAGGAAGAATAAGGGCATAATAAGGGACTTATTTACTCTTTGTTTGGGTCAACTTTAGAAAACATGTCTTGATTCAATTTTAGCTTGATAAAATACAGAATCTACAATCTACTTCAATTACTTTATTTTTGCATCTCATTTTAGGATTTTACAAGAAGTCAGCGTCCATAGACGAGTTAGAGGAATACTGGCCATACAGATTCAAAGTTGATGCTTCTACAATAAAAGGGAATACAACATCAGATTTATCAAATATTGTCAGAACAAAACAAGCAGGTTTGTCACTCAGTTATTGCTAATGTAATGATTCCTATTTTATCTGTTATTTTGGAAATAAATTCCTGTTTTTGATTGACAGTTTATGGTTATATGTGATATTATATGTGATATCACGTTAAGCTATAGATTGTAAATAAAGACCAATAATTTATTTATAGAACACAGACTATTTATGAGTGAATATGAATCAAAATTGGTACTGTATATGATTTATATTATGTCCCCTGGGTTGAGGCCTCTGCTGGTGGACTGTTAGTCCCCGAGGGTCTCTACAGCCCAGTAACCTAGAACTTCGGTACTAGCTTGAAAATACGGATATATATTTAAAATTTCTGTGGTAAAATTTTCAAAATTTATTTCAAAATTAAGGATTATCTCCCTCATGCAAAACTCTGATTCTTCGACGTATTTGGCTCCAGTCTTTGGCACTTTTTTCAACTCTTTAAAGTCTTTTTTATTTATATATTTTGGATTTCCAACCTTTCGGCATTAGCAGCACTGAAGAGACATAATTTGCGCATCTGCTGCATCAAATATGATTTACATTAAAAGAAAATGCAATTTGTAAAATAAAAACACATTATAATTGTTATTTGTCAGTGGAGCATCTAGGTAAACCATGCGTTTTGACAACAGAAATGCAAGCACATAGTCACGTTTGAATATATTGATAATGGAGATACTGGAGTAGCAAAGTAACTGTATCTTCATATCTTCATGTGTAAGGACACATGTACATGAAATAACTCTTTTTTCTGATCCACTTGGTTTGATCACAGTTGATTCCATATGAGGCATCGAGCAAATGTAACCATTTGCCCACACATGACGCAACAGAATACTTTGTTTACTATGCACTGAAAGATTCGTGTAAATCTAATATAATATGTTTAATACCAAGGAGCTTTTAATCCATTTACTTTGAAAATGCGAGATGCTAACAACATTGATAAAGTATTATAATTGTAAATTGTAAACAGTTACCGTGTTTTATTTTATGTGCAAGAATTTCACTTCCTTTATAGTGGAGCATATGGCTAAGTGGTCTTAGGTATTTGGCCAGTAATCCAAAGGTTGCTGGTTCAAGCCCTCTGTGGGCACGTGATATTGCATATTGTGTCCTTAGACAAGGCAGTTTATCTACATTAATTGTCTCAGTCTACTCAGCTGCAATAGGTACTGGCTTACGCTGGGAGTTAGCTCGTAAGTCGGACATTTGATATTCATAAACACATATTTTATATTCATTGACACTCATAAAATTAGGGACTAATGAACTTACTTTATACACATGCTGACGTGCACTTGTTCAGTGAATATATATGGGCTTTTCTCAGTAAAGTAGCATCATGCAAGGAAAAAAGACCAGAATTTAAGGACTACCCCCCCCCCTCCTTGTCCCTAACTCCTTTTATATAATTTCCGTACAAGCTTTAAAGTGCCCACAATTTGATTTTATTGGGGGCTTTCAGATTATGGAATATGTCCTCTACAATAAATTATCTGATTTTGACAAGTGACCTGTGATATCCCCTCCTCCCCCAACGAGATTGGGCAGTTTCTCCCTCCTCCTCTCATGTCGGATACCCAGGGTGATCTCGTCTTTTACTCATTGCTCACGAGTGATAAGCGAAAGATGAGATCATCCCTGGGTATCCGACAATGTCCTCTTCTTTCCGGTTTGTCAAATTTGTAATCTATCCTTGCTGATCATGAAAATATATATTTTGCCCTGGAAAGTCTTGAAATTTAAATAAATAATATGATAATAATAATATATAAATTGTGCTTTTAGTTCGACTAATGCTTGTCTTTTTTAGTGAAGTCAATGCTTATCGTAGGTTATAGTGTTTGATCGAAATTTCTGAAAGCTGCTGGTCACTTTCGGTGTAAATAGTTACGGTCCATTCGTCCACTGGATTAAATGAAGCATCGGCATCTTTGAATCACCTTCCTCCTTCCTTTCGGGGCATGTAAATAATAAAATTATTTCAAATAATCACGTGTTTTCTTCTCTTAGAGGTTTGAAATATTTCTCTCTCAATAAATGCTTTTAAATCAAATTTACTTTTTAATTCAAAATGATATTAATACATCTTCAGATCCATTATATGGTTTGAACATATTCCTTACTTCCTTGTCCTTGAATTAATTCTAATTTAGAAAGTTAAATTTGTGAGTCTTTGGTAAAATAATGAAAATATCTTACTTAATATATTAAATTTTCCAAACAATTATGTATGTGATAAGGTTCATGAAATATGAAGATAACGAACAGTATTCAATCTCGAAAGTCCAATGAAACGATACAAATTTGGAGCAGAGCAAACACGGACGTCATAATTTAGATGTGGGTATGTGATAAGGTTCATATAATCTCGGACAGTGTCCGACTTAGCATCAAACTGCTAAAATTTACCGATCAAATTAAGTCATTACGTCCGATATTGAATTCTTTTAAATAGAATAAAATTTAAAAAAATCAAAAATAATGTGCATTTACAATGTTTAATGTATAATATATAATATATATGTAATTTGTAATTTCAAAATTCATATTAAATTCTTTTACATGATGTGAATATTTTCTTACGGTTGATCGATCAAAATATTTCCGGGCGGATCTTCGAATTTCCCGGTGATGAGTGCTTTCGAGGGTCAAACGTCAAAAAGACTCTTTTGAGAAAGAAAGAAAGACAACTCTTAATAGATGAAGCAGTGCTTCATTTAGTCGATTATAATTGATCATGGATTTATTATAGCAAGTATGTTAAAGTCTGTTAAAAATAGCATCAAAGTTGTCCGATTTCAGATCGTGTCCAACTTTAGATCAGTTTACCTTAGTGATTACCAAACGCTTATTTCTTAATTTTATTTCAAAAGTAGAGATACAACTTTTAAATTGGAATTCATTTTTAGGATTGATAATGGCTTCAGTTTTTATTCATTTCCATTTATTATTATTTTTTGCTGTTTTGCATTTAGCACCAGAAGAAGTGGAAAACTTTACTGTCAAGATAAAAGATGGAGACTACAGGATGGCCTATGTATATTGGAACATTCCATCGCCGAAGAATCGTAATGGTGTCTTACAGAGCTACCATTTCAGCATTAGACACAATCATACAGGGGTATTTTTGCTGATATCTTAAACAAACCCTGCTGGGTTTTTTTTATGCGAGATGTTTGCAAAGTTCATTATATATTTACAAATCATTTGTGTGATTTTCAGCTTGCCTCAAGTTGAGATGTTATGCTATACACCTGGCATAACCTCAGCAGGAAGTAAGTTTAGTCCATTCCAAAATAAATATAAGCCCTATGGTGACCAAACTTGTATGGTTATACGTCGATCTATGTTTGGTGGATATGACCTACATTTTCAGGATGAATGACCAGGTTATAGTTCTGAAGGAGGATCAAGCTACAATTAGCCCTCTGGTGACCAAACTTCAGATGAATGATCAGGTTAAAGTATTTGTAGAAAGTTCATTACAAATAAGTTTAAGCACTAAGGTGAAAAAACTTGCATCTCTGATGAATCTGTGATTGCACACTACCAGACCTTCTTTCAAATTTGATACTGAATCTGACCTACATTTTTTGAATGACTGAAGGACCAGTTTAATGATTTTGGAGTAGTCCCATTCTCAAGTAACTATACTAGTAAACCCTTTTGTGATCAAACTTGCCTATATGATGTTTGTAGGAATGTACACTACCCGACAAGTTCAGATACTGGATGTGACCTACATTTTCTGGATGAGTGACAAGGTTACTTTCATAGGCAGGTTCATGAAGAAGCATATTAAAAGCTCCTCCAACATGTTTAAGTGAAATAATACTGAAATCACAGTTCTTCTATCCAGCTGAGCTTGTATTTGCATTTTTTGTTTTGGGATTATCCCTGTAGCTATTGATGTTTCCTTTTTCCATCTTTTAGGTCACCTGAGTCAATCAGGTGACTTACTGCTAATTCATGGCCCTGGGCTTATGGTCTTAGAGATAATACTAAATCATTCAAAATTAATGCAATCTTTAAAAATCTTCTTCTTTGCTCCTTACTCAGTCAAATTGCTTGTATGATTGTAATAAGCATTGATCCCTCTACCAAAATTGTGAAATATATGACTCCAGAGTCGGTGTTCTGTTGCAAGGATGGGGTTCTGTTGAATATATAGTAAAATGTATGTTTTCTTTAAAAATATTCTCATCTCCTGGGTATTTTGCAGGTGAACTAAACAAAATGCATAAGTATAATGAATAAGGGTATCTCTTAAAAATTGTAAAATATTGGTCTAAGGGTCAGGGGTTAAGTTGGAGCTGGGGACTCTATTGATTATATGGTGAATATGCATTAATGCTTTAATAATCTCATTCACTGTTCCTGTGTTCCATAGTGACAAGCTGGGTGAAATTTTATCGGTTATATAGTAATTATGCACTAATTCTTTGAAAATCTTCTTCTCTGCTTCTGGGTATCTAAGAGAGAAACAGAGTACAAAGGTTATAATAAGCAAAGGTATTTTTACCAAATTTGTGAAATTCTGGACGTCCACTTGGTCAAATGTTTTGGTACTTGACAGGCTTCGATTGATTTTTTATCTGGGAGAAGTTATTCCCTTTGCTATTCACCTATGATAATTAATCACCAAAAATAATGTAATTTGAAAGGTCAGTTGAATAAGAATTTGAATAAGAAATGTTTTTCAAAGATCAAATAAGGCCAATGTTAGAAAGAATGAGATTGGATTTCTTACATTGTTCAAACACTATTGTTTTGATTAGTCAGAATGGTGATTGTGACAGATGGGAACAAGTACAGACAAGAAAATAAATCTCGTCTAAGATTTGTTTCATAGTACTAGACTAATTAATTTGTTGATTCCTGAACATCCTATTTTACTTGCTTTTGGACAATATAGCTCCATCTTTCGTAAAACACGCTGATAATTAATTTACTCTTACAATGAAGTAATTTTCTTTCTCACTGACTATGAAATATATTGTGAACCTTATGGACAAATTATGCTTACAACGAAGGTGACTCATCCGCCCCTGGCACTCCGTTATAAGGGTGTTTTACTGCATCACTTCCTTTTGTTTTATTTTATACTGCTATAGATCCTTTACAATGTTGTACTATACTCAGGTACCGTTAAGGCCCATGGGCCTTAATTGTTTACAGACTTTCAGCAATCCCCAGGTCTCTAAAAGATTAATAACATTAAGGAACGATAGTTGGGGAAAATATTAACTAACTTGAATAGGTCATGAAACCAAATTTCTTTTTTTTTCCATCTCATTGGCATCAGTCCTCCTTCTCCCCGCATTGTTTCACCATTTTTGTAATTGTCAACAGAAACGAGGTTTACCAAGTGTCCGCTGACAATTAAAAAGTTAAGGAACTAGAGTTGGAGGAAAAAAGTTTACAAACTTGCATAATTCATTGAATATATATATATTTTTTCCATCTTGTTCAATTCAGAGACTTACTTTTGTCTACAGCATTTCGAAATTGTTGTTTACAGAAGAAAGATAACTCAAACTGATACACTATTTTAAGTGTTACACAAAATATATGAACTCTTTTTGACCGTGTATTGACTTTACAGTGACTCTCTTTAAATGAAGTTTGGGAACATATTGTTTTTACTTTCTTTTTTCAAAATTTCTTCTCCGGTACTTTCGCACCGTGATCGGAAGGTCGTGTGTTCGAATCACGGCCGCGACTGACCTAAGTCGATAAAACATAGGTAGCAACTGTTCCTTCCTTTTATAATAAAGATAGAAACATTAGCCTACTATATTATGATACTATCAAAATTGAATGCAAAACCATGCATGCACGTGTGCTGAATTCTGATTTGCTAATAATTAAATGGTTATATCTCTTTTTTCAATGAAATTCTTTGATATTTAACACAAATGTATATATTGTGATACACTACCAGAAAATTTATGTGAAAAATGTGTAAAACTTGTGCAAGCACATGCGCTGAAATTTGATTGGCTAATACCCATATGGCTATATCGGAGCAGTTTTCCAATTAAATACATTTGAAACGGTTCCCGTTACAATTAGCACTAGTTGTACAAGGCATTCTTCATTTTACAGACAGAGATAATGGGAACGATTCCAGTCTCTCTCACAACACAACTTGTTGAAAAAAATTTCACGGTTGAACCGGAGGAGGTGTATTCTGTAACGGTAAATCTTAATTATACTGTGTAATTTATTTAAAATTTCATTTTTATCATTGCTTACTATGTAACAATAATCCCTTGGACTGCAAACTCGATAGTGGGTTTCAAGATGGTGTAAGATTATTCTTTAATCTTAAAAAAATCACTGAAATACCTAATGGATGTGGTAATAGACTTCAAACTTATTTCAAATTTAACACTTTGATGTGATAGCTAGTCAACGGAAGTTAATGCAGGCACTGTTAATACCAAACATCTGAATTTTCTTAGATGTACGTGAAACAAAGTAAAGCTGTAAATGAATGTAGCTATATGATTATATGATTATACTGTTCTTCAAATTGTTTCATAGACAAATAATGATGGGTGTCCTTGCTTTTTTAAGGTGTATGTGACAAATAATGAGAGTGTGTCAGGTCAGGAGGTCTCACAGAATTATAGAGTACCTGCTGGTCGTGAGTATACTTGTAACTTTTATGTTAATGTTATTGTAAGCTGAATATTTCAGGCAATATGTGTGTGGTAAAAATTAAGGCCTATAAGTCTCTCAATAACTGTACATGTACGAATTAAGTAAATATATAAGTGAAAAATCTCGGCAATTGTGAAAGTTATGAAGAAAAGGGAACAATATTACAATGTACTCAAATATGCATGCATGTTTCAATTTATCAATCAAGTAAGAAATGGTTGAGGAAGAAATGATCAATTGTCACTTTGACAAATTATCATACTGAGCTAATGCATTGTATTTCAATTTGCTGACAAGGCCAGGTGCTGTTATATGACCGATGACAATGACGAAATGATGAAATCATGAAAGTTATCCTATTCTATCATATCTAACAATATAACATAACATCATAACATACAAAACCGATTACTACCAAAAGGAATTGGTGCATTTTACAGAAGATATTGTTTTCACCTATTAATGGGTGAAAATTTCCCTTGGTTCCATAAGATATATCAAACTATGTCATTAACTTTCGATCTAGAATAGTTAATAATTCAGTAAAACACCTTTCTCATTTCCTCTACTTTAGCACCTCCACTGGACAACAATAAGGAACTGATAACTACAAGACCTGGTGATCACAAGCCTTCACTGCAAACAATCACAGTAGAGGTTAACACAGATTTCTTCAAAAATGATTTGAATGGAAAACAAGTTTTCTTTGGAATTGCAGTATGTGAAAAATCTAAATGTGCAAGTAAGTAAAAGAAAGTAAACAATTGTAAGAAAATATAAAGCTTTGATGTCTGATCACTTTGCTTTCAGAAAATTTTGATTTATCCTTGTATTGTATTTACAGTGGAAAAATTTTCATTTTTCAAAAGATAACATCCTCCAATTTTATTCTTTTCTGCAGAAAAAATGAAAGTGAAGAAATTACCACAGTGAAACACGCTTATAGCGAACATGCTTATAATGAATTGACTCTTACAGCAAAGCGATTTCATTCCCCGTGACTTTAAAGTGTATTTGGATACTAACGGACATAACAAATTACGTTTATTACGAATCAAAATCATCTGTTCCTGGCATTTCGTTATAAGAGTGTTTTACTGTATAATCATGTCCACAATTTAATGACAAATATTGTTGATGATGGACATCACAGTAACTAGTTTCACTTCGATTGTTTACATGAGATTCCCCTAATGTACGTCAAAATTGTGGGTAGCTAGTGATTTCGACTTAAACTGATTGCAACTGGGTACAGAGGTACGTGTAGAAGAGAAGTGGTTTAACAGTCTGCCGAATTGATTAAACAAAAAAAAAATGAATATGAAGTAGGAAGATAGCTCAATTATGATTTTTTCATGCAGTTAACGAAATCATTAATTTTGCCATCTAACAACCCCTAATAAACATCTCCAATTACAATTTTGCACATGACAAAAATTACATGGAAAGGAAATATTGAGCATTTGGACATGTGGTAAACAGTAATTCCTAGACTTTAATATTCATAGGTAAAACACAGTAATGAACCCTACAGCTGTAAATACATTACATTAGATTTAATATCCATACAAAGGTTGCATTTTAATTTCTTTCAAAATTCAGGCCAAGGAACATCAACAGTAAAAAGGGAATGGGAAGGTTTACCAAACTGGCATAAAGCCAGCAAAGCTGGATTCCCATTATACAGAGTCACTAGTGAAGCTTATATGGAAAATATCAGGAGTACTTTTACAGGTACTCTTCTTATTTATACATATTTTTTTATCATATTCCCTTCCTCTGACTGGCTGTATTTGCTTTTCCTTTCTTCAATCTCTCTGCTTGCCCATCTGTTGGTTTTCACTTGTCCCAATTATATCTTTCACAAATCCCAATTCTTTCTTACTTGATGTAAGGCATATGACCATCAAACATGGTCGGTTGTTGTACCTTTGGGAAAAAGTGTTTCTTGACTCAAATGTTGATTACTTTGATTGTCCTCATCTTGAAATTTATTTCTACTTACTTACTTACTACCCATGATGCCTTTGAGATAGGGCAGTGAAAACAAGGGCTTTTCCTCCTTGTATGTCACTGGCTATCTACTGGAATGTGTCCTGTCTTTATTTTTTGGTTCTTTATTGCAGCCTCCACTGGGCCTCCCCCCTTCCATTTCCCTCTAGTGTATAAAAGATATCTGTTTTTATGATGCTGTCTGTGTTCCTTCGAAGTACATGTCCAAGCCAATTCTTCTTCTGATGATTGTGGCCATGTCTCTTTGCTGGCATCTACTAAGAAGGTTCTAATGTGAGATAGTATTCTGGGGATCATTCTTGGGGACTTGGAATGTTGACAGCTTGAAATTTTATAGCTATATATGAATTTATCAATATATTGTGCATGATTTTGCATTTTGCTTTATGAGATCTAGAATGATTAAACCCTTTCAGCTGAAGCATCTTGGGGATGTACAATACAGATTCAGACTGGTGTACCTTATACCCTAGCTGTATACTTTAATTTGTAATACATGTATTACCAAGATTGATAGGTTATTCAGGTGATCTACTGCTCTCTGATCCCATTTGTCATTCTCTTTTGCTCTTTACTCATTTTTTGCAAATGGCTGAACATTCTAGAATCTTGCATGGTGCATCCAATTTCAACCATTTTTGGTATATATCATCGGGGGAATAAATGTTTTTTACTTACGATGGTATTGTTTTGATGAATGAAATTTTTTTTATGAAACTCAGATTTTGGTAAAAATCTACTTTTTCATCATTGATTTCCTCGGACAATATTTGTTTTTTTTTTTTTCATTTGGTGTATATTGTCATATTTGTGCAGTTGTTTGTGAAAGAATTTTAATGTGTCAATCTGACATTCTTTATTTTGTGTGCTTATCTGTGATTAAAATTTTGGAGGAGATACTGTAAAATTTTCAACAGGAAAAAATCTTCATCTGCATTTTTTCTTTTTTTCTTTTCTTTTCTTTTCTTTTTTTCTGTTTTTTTTTTTTTTTTTTTTTGTTTTGAAAAATTCCCTTGCCTATATTCATACTTTAGGTCAAAAACCAGATTCCTACTTTCCAACATTTAGATATTACAAGAACACACTGTTATCCTCAAAGGCTTCTTATCTTTGTAGGATCCAGATGGAAAAGATCCTCATCATCTGAATTTATCATTGGAGAAGATACAATTTGTCCGTTATTAGATTCTTATGTGTACTGTAACGGCCCTCTTAATCCTGGACAGTCATACAGGTATGGACTGTTCAACTTTAACAAAAGTCAGAATGAATGAATGTTCTGTTAATGGCTTTTCAATGCTCACTCAGGCAATGATAAAGATACATGTAAATTAATGTGGTTCAAACAATGTCCAATGGTAAATTATCTCTCTGATTTTTTTTTTACAATCTGTTATGTTGTCTAATGATTGATTGATTGTATGTTGTTTACCGTCCCATTCGAGAATTTTTCACTCATATAGAGACGTCACTGTATGCCGGTGAAGGGCTTCAAATTTAGACCTATACTCGGCACTCAGGGCCATTGAGCAGTGAGGGGTTCTTCATCGTGCCAACGCCTACCGTGACACGGGACCTACGGTTTTAAGGTCATATCCGAAAGACCCGTGACTTTCACTTCTAATGCCAGGCGCTTGGCGAAGGAACAGTCACTACCTATGTTTACGTCTTAGGTTTGACGCGGCGCAGCGAACGATAATCGAAACCGTGCCTTCCGGTCACGAAGCGAACGCCCTACCACTAGGCTACCGTGACCGGTTAATGTTGTCTAATCAGAACCAAATGAAAAATAGGTTTTACTGTATACATGAAAGATGTTTCATTTAATTGAAGACATGATGAAAAAATAATTTGATATTTTGCTTCTGAAAATTTTTATTAATAAATATTAATATTTTTTCAAGTTAAGAATAGTTGTAATTAGTATGTAATTTCTGATCTCTCCTTCACAATGTTTTATTAAGTGCTGCAGTCTGATTGATTAGAATGGTTCCTTAATTTATGTTAATCTTTTATATGATGAGATTTAGCTTTGTAATCCTTATTACCTGTAAATATGTTATGTAAACAAATTTTTGATTATTCTAATGTGATTGTATTTGCCTGTACAAATGGAGGATGCACACATTCAGAGCAAATTGGGCCATACAACACACTTGTAGTAGGTATGTATACAGCTTCTTAGCCCACTGTGATAAAGCAGGGTGAGCTTTAACTTTAAGTTTTTAGAGCATGTCCTTTCCAAAGTATCTATAAGTCTTACTATGGTGACTAAACTTGTATGGATGATGCAACTAGGGATGGCAAACTACCAGACTAGCTTCTGATGCTGAATCTTGAATATGTAAACTATTTTATGATAATTTCCGTGTGATTGTATTTTGCCTGTACAAATGTCGGATGCACAAATTCAGATCTACATTGTAATTTGGCCATACAACACACATGTAATAGGTATGTATTCTGATTTTTGTTTTTTTTTTTTTTAAAATATTTTTATTTATTAATTTTTTGGGGGTGGGGGGGGGGGACATTTAGCTATGTTTATTCCGTCTTGTTGTTCTATTTTTTAATTAGCCAAAACCATAAGATTGATGATTGATGGTATATTGTTTAACGTTTCAATCGAGTATTTTTCACTCATATAGAGACGTCACCATATACCGTTGAAGGGCTTCAAATTTTGAACTTTACTCGGCACTCAGGGCCATTGAGCAGTGAGGGATCTTTATCGTGCCAACGCCTGCCGTGACATGGGGCCTCGGTTTTTAAGGTCTCATCCGAAGGACCCGCAACTTTCACTTCAAAGTGCCGAGCGCATGGCGAAGCCTTAAGACAATTTGCAAATAAACGCATGTTTAAAAAAAGAGGCTATTTTAGGTGCATTTTTAACAGGTAGTCCAGGAAAATTCTCTTTTGTTACAACAAAGCTACATGTAATGACTAAGAAGTGTATATAATACTATAATTTTAAAGATCGATTTCAACTCTAAAACTTTTTAAAAATAGACACATGGTTTTATAAATATTTAGTGATATATATGCAGTTAAAAGTTTCGATGTGATCATAGCATAATATTTAAAAACGTATTCCACTGCAAATCCTGATGTCGCTTCATTCCTTTACAATTTCGAGACGAAATTTTCAGCCATATAAGCATTCCGAGTAAATTGCAAGGAATGTTAAAGAAACCTTTTTTCCTATATAAAAGAAAACAAACCACTCCTTGCGAAGAAATGCATGGATCTTCTTTCATGCGAAATCATAATAACAATTCACTTCCGCAAAGATTTTCTTTACGATTGCACGGACAGAATGCAGATTTCCCTAAGAACTGAAACTTACCTGAAAATGAATATGGAACTTAATATCATCGATTCTAGTTGCGAGTCAGCTATTTTAGACCATTACATTTTCGAAATAACAAATTGAATTAGACAAAAACAGTTGTCTCTAACTTCCTTAACGGTAATTCAGGAATGGCATAAAAATTTTAAATATTTTGGGAGCGAATACTGCATACTGTTGATTAACGTAGATTTTATCTATTGCCGAGAATTTCAACTTTTATTACTGGAAATTAACTTCGGAATCCGTAACAATTCATTTCCATAACAATATTTTCCCCAAAATTTTAACTTTATATCGGATTCATGCGAGACTTCAAAAAATCATACGTTAGCGTCCTATGTGAACATAAAAAACCGAAAAATTGGTCAAAATCAGCTTTATCTAAAAAATAATAATAATAATAATAATAATAATAAGGCCTGTTCAAGCATTAACTTACTAACACTACCTTAAACCTAATCGTATATTTAAATTGTTGTAAAAAGTTAACGATACCAGATTTGTGGATGATATTTTTTTTTTCAAGTGCACTGAAATATCCCTTAGTGAATCATGTTGTTTAACTGGCTATTTGAAATAATTATTTTTTGTTATATATTTTTTGTTACATACCCTGAATTATTCCTTTTATCGTAGAATGACTGATATATATTGGAATAATTTATTTTAGAAACAGATATTCCAAATTATATTCTTTAATTATTTAAGCATTGTGCTGGGGTACTTGTAAGGCCCATTGAGCGTTTGTTTATTCTTTAATTTGATATATTAATATAAATATTTATTGAAGATATAATAAGATTCCGGGGGTCCGTGTTTTATGCCCTGCTCACCAATTTGTATTGATTATAGATTTTTATGAGATCGATCACTGTTCGTTATCTTCACCCTGTCATTGTTTGACGACAATTGTTGAGATTTACGAAATATTGCAAGTGGGTTTTTTTTTTTATATAAAAGTGTGTCAAACGTAGGTGTATAAAATGGACAATATGCATAAGTTTTTCCTAAAAGCCAAGGGGTTATTTGTAAGATAACACATATATGTGATTTTGTTGTAAAAGATTTCTAGAAAGAATTAGAGGCTTACGATTTTTGACGCACAGTCTGAACACTCTGATTTATGGGGATTTTATGCTTTGTTTGGCAAATTTTATTTACAGTAAAAGGAATTGATGTATTGACTACTAGAAAAATTGAGAATTTAAAGCCAAGCTTTTTTCTTCAGAGAAAATTGAAGGGACCTCAAATTTAGGTGTAATAGTTGGATCCATAACCGGAGTTATAGTTCTTCTTGTTATTGTGGTTTTGGTCTATAGAAAAGGAAGAAATAGGTATGTATATAACATAAATACTGGAAATATATTTGTGAACCACCATTACTTCTCAGTAATTTCTTTAATTATTTAATAGTATTCATCTATAACTAATATTTAAGGGGCTGTGTGTGTGTGTGTGTGTGAGGGTGTGTTGGTGTGTGTGTGTTGTGTGTGTGTGTGTGAGGGTGGGTGTGTGTGTGTGAGAGAGAGAGAGATAGTGAGGGTGTGTGGGTGTGTGCGTGTGTGTGAGGGTGCATGTGTGTGAGGATGTGTGTGTGAGGGGTTGAGGGATTCGAGATTGTGGAGGGGTTAAATGTTCTCAAAGCAAAGACTATTATATATGATTTTTTTGTAGGAAGAACCAAAACGATGCTAATACCTATGCCGATCTGGAATTCAGTCAACGATTCAAAGAGTAAGTCTTAAGACATACCGAAAGACAACACACACGTTAATTGTTTATATTATGTACGCAGATCTGCTCTTTATAACGCAGCTATGTTAAGGCTGTCCGAAGGCTTAATATGCATTAGATATGTACTATTTTATATTGTTTTGATTTCAATTTGTAATCTATGTATACATATACAGATAAGTTGTAAAGAGAGTTGAATAAGGTATTATAAAAAAGCATTTATGTGATGTCACATGACTGTGTTGATCACGTGATGGACACTTATAAATTTTCTTAAATGTTGCACAAAAATCGCATCGGCACAAGTGAAAAACAAAATTATTGTGAACGGCTTGTTACATAAATCAATTAAACATATTCTTGGGTATATATAAAGTGCTGGGGGCAAGTCTGAATTTTATTTCATAAGAAAATATTTCACGAGAAATTCAACTTACCCACATATAAGGTGTCATTTTTCCCTCTTCATCTCAATTCATACAAAATAGAACAAGTAGAGCTTTTTTCAAAAAGCTTACCGTCTTTAGCAACAACCTTAAACAGTACACTGACCTAAACCTATCAGGCCGTAAAAATGAAAATTTCTTGGCTTTGTATTTCTTCATTAGTTTTTTTCTTTCTGACATAAACCCTATTAAGTGAAAAGTTAACAGATGCTCGACTGTCTCTGTAAACTTGGACTCTGCAGCCGAGATCATTCGGCAAACCTCGGCTGATTCCGTCACCTTTGTGATATGTAAGATGAAGTACATATACGAATCAGCCGAGGTGTTACCGAGTGCTGCCGAGATTAGAAAGACAGTGCAAACCAAAGGGGAAAAGAATAAGTACAAGCTGTAAAGCTTGCATGCAATAAGGATCAATTCTGTTAACAATGAAAATATAGAAACTTCTTTTTTTTGGCAATTGCTGTTTAAAAAAAAACTTAGGATTTTAATTACTGCCAATTTCCACTGTTCGTTTTGTCATATTTTTTTACGATGAAAATCTTGAAAAATTGTTACGTCGTACGAAAATTAGAGCATCAGAAAATTATCTCCCTTACCTTGAACAGCATTTCAACCAATGAAATAGTTGAAAATTTTCTCATCATGCAATTTCTACCAATCACAAAAGAGAGGAAGTGCATAGTCCGAAGGCTGTAAAATACTTCAACTCTGTATACTGTCTTCCAAGGAAGACAGTAATAAATTACATACAATCCCCCAGCAAAATTCAGTTAGAGGGCATTTTTCTCTAGTAGATTCACACAGAATATCTTCAATTAATCCTTATTATTCACTTGTGCCAGTCTAATATGTATAAGATTTATAAATTCTAACTCTGTCTACAGACGTGTAAGGGGAGCATTTCATATTCTTTTTTTTTTTTTTTTTGGAATTGTTTGAATATGTACATGTTAGACAAGAAAAAGTAATAACGATATTACACTGCAAATATTCACAATCATAACAGCCTTAAAACAACAATCCAGACACAGGAATTAGACATAAACGTAAAAAAAATTCTACATGTGATGTGAAAGGAAGTAATAGCTATGACGCTTTCCCCGTCATGTCTGCTCAAATGTGCAGTGACTTGACGTCATATGCCATTACAACGTCATATCTAGGTAGCTCAGAGAAGTTACTCCGGCTGGTACACTGTGACATTCTTCGGACAGCCTTATCCTAGCCGCGAAAACGATTAACCTTACAAGCATACTTTAATAGCATACCAGCATTATGTCAATTCTAGGGTTTCTGAAAAGTATTGCAGACATTGAATGCCATTGTTCTGATCTGCAGATTTGAAACCTGAATCATTATTTCAAACTGAATTGTCTACGTTTATTCCGTTTTCCCGATCAGAACAAGAGGTGGGTGTTACCGGTCGACAGGGAATGCTCACTCTTCCAAGGCAACTGATCCCACTTTTTGTTCTGCTCATCTTGATTAAATGGACTTTTGGGCATGATTACTTTTCGTTTTCTTCACATTTCATACAATTTCATTCTGAATCCTCTTTCAAAATCGGGTCTTAATTTTTCTTTTAATATATCACCCATGTTTTTCTTTATTATTTTGGGATGAAGGAGTTGATTGTGGAAAGACAGATTTTGAGAAAAAAATATGTTTTTAATTCCTCCGAGCAATTCCACTTAGAAATTGACAAAAAATTCAGAGAATTTATAGCAAAAACTTAATTTGAAACTTGAATTTATCTAAGGAATGAACTTAATAGCTACCCAATTTATACGGTATAAAGTTGGTTTGGGCAGTTTACGCTTTATAAACCGCGTAGCGATTAAAAAAAGGAGTAAACTGTTCCATCCCACTTTATACAATACAAATTTGGTAGCTATTAATTTCATTCCTTATAATTTAATTTTCATTCATTTAGTGTAAGAAAAATGATGATTGTCCTTAAAAAATGACTTCAAATTGTACAAAATTTAAATGTAACGTCAGGCGGATCGATACGTTTTTGACGCAAGTCATTGTGACGTAAGCAACCCAATTTATACCAATGTGTACACATAGCTTACTTGTTACCCACAGTGTTAGCTTGAGGACGCGCCCTCTATGTATAGAATGCAATTTATACGATATAAAGTAAATTTTTTATCCAATCAAATGCCGCGTTATAACCAGAATTAAATTATTGTACATTATATCGACAACATAAATAATTAGTCAGATCATCTTAGTTATGATATTCTAAGATTAATTTTGCACAAATCATCAGTTGCTCTTGTAGTTGAGCAAATGAACAAATAATCAACAGTAATATCATGTGTTGTTCTGTTTGAAACTTAAGTAAAAAATAATAACTTTGATAATTCGCCAAAACCCCTAACTCTGTCACTACCCTAACTCCATCACTTTCGGGAAACTCCGCGCTATTTGTAAACAAATGCGATTGTGAGTCATTTTTACATGCTGAAAATGCCGAGAAATTATTACAGTCAAGTTCAAGAATGCATAAAAAATATATAACAATTACACGCGATCTATTGTATCTATCATATTTTTTGTGACATCAGTAAGCACTTTTTCCTTAATTTACGCGCTTATTCCATCGATACTTCAGACATGTGCTTCTAAAATGCTTATTTTTTCATGTAAGTCATATTTATGAAGGACTTTGCCAAAGGATTAATATGACATACCATTTTGAATACAGCTAAAAGTATTTTATTTTTCGTCTCAGTTTGCCCTTATATACGCTACACGTTTGAGATAACGTAGCGTGACGTTATTACATATTATAAAATACGTTATTTTAACGTTATTTTTTCTGTTGTTGATACTTTTCCTAAAATAAAATTTAATACTTTTTAATCCTTCAAAACTAATTTTTCCTGTCTGCAAGTTTAAGAAGAAGGGATTAAAAAAACTAAACAGTAAAAAAAATTCTAATTAAATACATTAACATATTGTAGAGGGCCCTGGTGACGGAGTGGTGGACGTAATGTACACGGGTGTGATACACGTTCTATTTATAGTAGTTTTGTATAAGCCCAATAACTGATTTTCAATAGTTCTGAAAACAATGTTGAAGTTCATTACTAAGTGTAGCAAACAAGAAACAAATCAAAAAGTAATTCAGAGAGTAACCTGGCGTGTTCTCTGCTTATGGTGACGGAGTTTGGGTAGTAGGGGATGTTTATGTACAAAATAATAACTATTGACCTTAATTTTATAGTGAACAAGTTTATCTCAAATTGGATCGGGGAATTAGACCAAAGAAAACGTAAGTACTATAGAGGTTTCTGTTTACGTTAAAATACATCATATATCCAAGATAAACAAACAAGTTCACATTTAATACACTTAGCGCTTTCGCCGTGCGGCTCTTCCTGACTTCGTTATTATGGGTCACAAAGGCAGCGTTATACATTGGCGCAGGTAAATGTCAATTGGGCTCCAAATGCATATAATTTAACATATACAAGTTGCTGTCCTTTAAAAAAGGACTGCAATACGTGGACCATATGCATGTGTTTCTAAACGAAATTCAAAGAAAATTTCTAGATTTTTGTGATTTTACAAATGTGTAATTAAATTAATTTTTTTTACATGTACCTTGTTATTTTCATCGTTATTTAAGTCTGCTTAATTAGGCTGTAATGATAAAAAAAATCATGACCTTGAAAGGATATGACTATGAAATGTTGATCTAGGTATCTATCATAATTGTAATTGTCTGACGTCATGGCGTCAGACAGTACTAGATTTAGCCAAGGCTTGTTGGTCAAGTCGTTCAATAGAATTATGTGATAACTCGATCTTGGAAACTTCATTCTATCTTATATCAATTGGAGAGCACGGGGATTAATGGCTAAACATCGAAACAAGCCAAAGCATTGGACCTAATTATTATCTCATTATACATTACACGCAACATAACATCTGCCCACTCTCTTATACATTACAATCATAAATTCATGTACGTCCAGCAAAATAGCAGGAATGAAGCTGGTCGACACTTATCAGATTAACTAATAGATGTTTATTTTCAATGCATACAGTCTTTCTAACTTTAGTATTACATATATACGTAACTTTACTGACGTTTGCTCATTTAAAACAAGTTTATGATTAAAATAGATAAATAACTCTCCCAAATGTTCACCAACTGATGTTTAGATTTTAATATGTGTTATATCTTTTTCTTTCAAAACACCGATTATATTTATGTATCTAGTAAAAGGCCAGTCGGAAGAAGATTCACGGGGAGGGAATCCACAACCAAAAATTTCAATGGAGGCGGGGAGGGGGGCACTATCAAGGAAAAATTCCTTATCATTAATCAGTATTATCAGGCAAAACATTTTTGATGAACTTCATACGTTATTAATTTCTTGAGTTATGGGAAACAAGCATAAAGTAGTATAAGTGTTTTATAGCATATAATTACATGTATATATCAGCAAAATACGGGGGTACGGGGGGGGGGAGGGCGAGTTCCTACGGCCAAGAAAAAAAGAAAATTACAAGTACATGTAATACCTGTCTGTATATATGGAATAAATTCATAACTGAATTTATTTCATGTTGAACTTTTTTTGTTTCTTAGCAAAATAATTCATTTCTGGACTCAGAATATAATGTTGATTACACTGGATTCAATTTTTTTTAATTCTTCGTATGATGATAAATTTTGCTCACGTCAGACAAGCTTTTTAAGAAAGCTAATACTTGTGTAGCTTTTAAAATTAACAACAGTGTTAAAAAGAGGCTTAAGCGTGCAGGTATCGTAATGGTTGAATTTTAACTCCAATGGCGGATCCAGGGAGGGGGGTTCGAGTGTTGGAACCCCCTTTATTTTTGCAGAAAGAGGAAGAGCTAGAGAGAAAATGTTTTTCTGTAATATGTATAGATATTTTTACGTTTAGTATTTTCAATAAAATAAGTACTTCAATCTCTGCCCTTTCTTCTCTCTAGATAGAATTTTGCTTAATGCTTTCCTGTACCTTTACAAGCACGGCCCCGGGCCTCGACCACCCACACGTACATCGTAACATGAAAGATTTCACTTTGATATCATCGGAAGATTCCGGCGAACATACGCATACGGCTATGCCATTTTTGGACCATCTTCTAAAGTAACTAACTTTAATAAGTATGCATAAAAAGTCATGAAAGGAGTATCCATAAGAGAATATTTATCTCCATATATTATGGGGATATTTTAATCAATGAAGAGAGAGGTTCAAAATGTCCCCGTAGTCTGTAGGGGGGGGGGGGGCTCACTTTTTCTTAAAAAATATTTTTTTTGTTATAATTTGAATATATATGTTTTGATTTGCATTGGAAGCTCCCCCGCACTTTTTGTTGCGGGAAGGTTCAAAATACGGAAAATCAAACATTTAAAAAAAATCAAAATATACCGAAAAGTCAGACTAAGCCCTTTTGCATGTCAACTCTTTTTGGAGGTTGCCCCTTTGAAAACCGTTGCTACGAGCTTGAGTGAAAGTGCCTCCGGTGTGACCTAGAACCCCCCCCCCCCTTTCAAAAACTGCTGGATCCGACCCTGTACTGGAGCACTAGAGGGTCTTGGAACTAGAGGGTTTCGAGTTATCTAAAACGATGATAGGTTATCGATTAACTCGATCAATTTGAAAACACCAAAAAGATTAATTTTGTGTGTATGTGTGTATGTGTTTATTTCTCTGTCTTTTTTTTAAATAACGGAATGGTTGATAACAACACATGCAATCGTAACTTCTCGGCAAAACAACGTGTTTTTCCGAGCTTGCAACTGAGAAGATGCGATTGACAATCTCATCGCACGTGTGTAGACCTAGGCTATTTTGTCTTGCAAGCATAGGTGTATGCACTGTTTGCTAGTGACGCTTAGACTGGTGACGGTATTTGCTACTGACATGAAGAACTCTACACCAGTTTCATAACATGTGCAGTTTTTTTGGTGAAAATTGGAGTAAATTTAAAGTCGAATATCTTGGATATGGGGTAACCCATATCTATTCTTGTTACAACGACCCTCAATGCATCCATGGACGAGTTCATTGGTTACTTTGAAAGGTGGCACAGGTTAACCTTTCGTTAATATTTTCTTCAATGGTCTGCCTATTTTGAGTGATTGTACTTTCATAGCAACATTGTTAAATTTTATTCCCGATTGGCCTATAGTTTTGTCATTTAAAAAAATCGGGCTATTTCGATACATGAAATCCATAACGACTGGGAATTGACATCTGTACTAGATTAATACGGAAGATATCCTATCATTGGAAAGATAGATGGTACACGTGTAGTACAGATCTGTAGTACGCAGATTTTTCTGCGATTTTCTTTCTCCCTCTCCCCTACATGGAAAAACGTTGCTACAGGCCTTTATCCAGCTATAATTGTATTGCTGTCCATCAAATTATTTTGCGAACCTTGATGCACAAAGCTAATGCAGGTAAACATGGTAAAGACTATCTTTTAAAACCTAGTAGTTGAATTAAGTTTTTAATTCAATATGTTCTTGAAAGCTGTTAAGCTATCCAAAGAAGTTCTTCCTTCTTATTTAAAATGCTTGTACCATAGCATTTAGTTTGTATATAAAGATATATGTATTAAAGAGAAATTCAGATCTTGGTTACGTCAAAGAATACATAAATACAATGTACAGATTTTAGAGCGAGGTTTGCTAATGATTGGCATATTCTAATTCGAAGAGGGCGAATTGTTCTAGGATCAAATTGTCTTGGAGGCAAACTCTGTAGCAGTCTTGCGCATGCGTGGCTTGACGTAAGCCCATGGCATCCGGTTTAATCCCGCTAAAATATTTTCTGCGTGGACCTCAGGGCCCACGCAATAAAGTAATGAAATGTACTATACATATATTTAATTTTTAATTTTATTTATCAGGTCTATACCTATAAATCTGTTCGTTAGCCATGTGGAGGATCTGATGAAAGACAGTAAATTAAAGATTTGTCATGAATTCTCCGTAAGTATGATTTGTCATTATTAAAAAAAACCCTGATACTCTAGGTTTAGAGTACCTTCTAGAATAAGGATCTCTTGAAATATAAAGCAATATGAAATTCTTGCCAACATGATTACAAAAAAAGTTAGTGATATTATTTATTGTGCCTTATTTTCCCAGAGATAATTGTTATTGGAAATTGGACCTTCCATGCAATTTTGAAAAAAAAAGTTGAGTTATAAGATTTTTATTATTTATTTCCTAGAATATACTTTTGTCAAATAGTAAAGGAAGTACAAGAATAGGACAATCTAAAAACAATGTGCCTAAAAATAGGAGCAGTATCGTTCCATGTAAGTTCAAATCTTAGCTTACGGATAATCTATCTTTCATTATATAGTTGCTTTGAAAGTACTCATCACATGACATTAATGTTACAGACGATTTCAATCGGGTAAAGTTATTAGAAGGAGGAAAGGGTTCACAGAATGACTATATAAATGCAAGTTTTATTTTGGTAAGTACAACAAATTTGAAAAGTGGTTTTAATCAAATATGGATACTCAAGGTAGCACTTAAAATTTTTTTCAGTCAATAGCATCAAAAAGTACGTCTTTTTAATATTCATACAGCCATTCCCCACGACAAATTAATACCAAGCTTTTTGACACCATAGAAACTGCTTCTTCAATAAAAATGGAACTCATAATTTGCCTACCCTGTGATTTGTCAAGTGCAAAATTATTTGTAAAAAATCTAATTGTACAAACAAACAGGTACTCCGAGGTTGACATTAGAAAGATGGCTAAGTTTCTGATTGACATTATATACGTAGTTTTCGGAGACCGGGTCTTCTAATACTCTCTCGTAATTTCCAGTGGATACTATAATTGTGCCCCGTTATTAGCAGACCTGTTCTTGTGTTCATATGAAACAGAATGTATTCAAAATTTTCTACATGAAAACTAAAAGTATCTAACTGTGACCTTCAATTCGGCGTTTGAGATATCTACAACGTTTTATCAATTAATAATTTTCATTTTGTACGTTGATTCGATAATATCTTTCTTAACATGACATTAAAAAGACACTACAGAGTCAGACACGCCTGTGCCATCTGTTTCATATTTTGATGTTTTACTAGAGAAAGCCATTGAGGACAAACTAACAAATTAACTATTATTTGATAGACTTGATGACTTCAACTTCTCCACCGTCAACTTCCCTTATTTGATTAGCAAAATACAGTTGTCACATGTATATTGTGTTTATGTTTCAAAGTTTAATCGATACGCAGAAGCTCGTTCTATGCACACAAATGATTTCTAAAGAGATGCAAGCTATTGACAAATAAGTTGATGATACACGGATATCAAGAATCTCGTTTAAAGTAAACATTTCACGAATTTAAGTGGTCGAAACAACGACCTTGTTAGCAAATACATCGATCTGATATACATGTAAATTCTATTTGGTCATATGTACCATTTTGCTTTGAGGTATTATTAGTTCAAGTTGATTAATCAATATTCTTTTTTTAAAGACCCAGCACTACATAATTACCCAGTATCCTCTGCCAAAGACAATTGGACATTTCTGGCAAATGGTTTGGGAACAGAATGTACCTACTATTGTGGTACTTTCTGATGACAGCAATGATAATATCAAGGTAAATCTATTTAAAGCACTACTTATGCGGTGGTAGCCCGTGTGGCGCAGTGGTTCGAACGATCGCTCTAGAGTCGCGGAGTAAGGAGTTGATCCTTACGTCGCGGGCTCGAATCCCGCTGTGGGACGTGGAGACCGGTCCTTTGGATGAGACCGTATAAACCGAGGTCCTATGTCGCAGTAGGTGCTGGCACGAAAAAGATCCCTCACTGCTCAATGGCCGTAAGTGCCGAGTATAGGTCAAAATTTGCAGCTCTCCATCAGCAAGTGGTAGCGTCTCCATATGAGTGAAAAATTCTCGAGAGGGACGTTAAACAATAAACAAGCAAACAAACAAACTTATGCGGTGCCCTCCATCTCCCCAATTTACCACACAAGAATTGAAAGGAAACCTGAAGATATGTATGTTGTTATTGTTAAATTAATTAAACAAATAAGTCAAAACACTGGGTTGAATTAGAAACTATCTTATATATACCTTTGAAGATAAGAAAAGCTTTTATTTATGTCTTAAAGGCAGAGATTTTAAGCACCGCCTTCAAAAAATCCTGGTCTGTGCACCCCTGTCAATCAAGTGCATTAAGGTACATTATTGGGTGCTAGAACTTGATTGACATTTTCTTACTTGTATCTGTGTATACCCTGAACACCTTGTTTGGCACTCGTGGTGACCGTCAAATTAACTTTTGATCCTTTGATATTTACCACACATGGTATAAACAATAGAAAAACTGTATTACTATGGGATTTTTAGCTTGATAATATATACATACAAACCTTAGTATTTGAAATAATCATGATATTCTTTATGATAATATATATCAAAAATAAGTATAACTTTCTTTCAAAGCTCAACAAATACTTTAAATAATATTATTTTAATGGGTGGAGATGCTATGTTGACACACATTCAATTACAAATTAATAAAAATTATTGAGATTAAACTTTATTGCCAACTTTTTATTTCTAATTTAAAATCATCTCAAAAAAAGAGTAAAGTTTGACTTCTTGGGTATTCTACTGTGTATTAAATCACTTCCTGTGTATAGAAATTGGGAGACAAACGACCACAGGCAGATTGCTAGCCCTCAAGGCATTCACACCTGTACAAAATAAGCCCCTCCCTCACCTGGAATTTACCACCCGGTAAAAAATCTCTGCCTTCAAGAGACACAATATTTCCATAAATCTCGTTTATAATTCATATATATATATATATATATATATATATATATATATATATATATATATATATATATATATATATATATATATATATATATATATATATCATCTGTCAATTTGGTCTCCCCTTCAGATTGAATCTGAGCTATAAAGATCAAAAAGCAAGGAGAAACATAAACCGTTTCATATCAATTAGTTGTTTATTATAAATATTTGAAGGGCGACCAGTATTTTCCAGTCGCGGATGGCGCGGTGCTTTCCATGGGAGGAATCGACGTAGAACTGCTGGCAACCTTTAACATTCTTGAAAGAGCGAGTTTGCGTAAAATCAGATTGTCTAAGGTAATGTCCCATTACAGGAAGTTTGTTTAATATCAACTGAAGACGTATTTCATTACGCAGATTGTCAGATTTTCTTTATTTGTAGAACTCATTTTTACGCGGAAAGGAGCTGAAGAATGTAAATCACTATCAGATGTATGGTCTTAACATGGCAAATTTATCGGAGGAACTACTCAGTTGCATAAGTCTTATAAAATCGAATGAAAAAGATATAAAAGATACAGGACCATTCATCGTGCATGGAGGATGGTTAGTTGTCTGTTAAATTTTAATAAATTATGATTTTAAGGATATCTTTTTCATTTATATGAATATAGAGTTTGGTAAGATTTATTTGAGAAGAAATTTCTTGAAGTCTTTGAATTGACAGAAAATACATTTCTTGTTTTCATTTTATCGATTTTCATTTGATGTATACAGGGCATGTAAATGTGAATTAGAATAATAATGATTAGAGAAAACAAATGAAACTCATGTTATACTCGCTGAGATAAACAACGAACAAGTGAATTTTCATGGTATGTATATACAATTGACTTCAATATCCTCAGCTCTGGAACTGACTATAGCGGAGTGTTCATCTCAACAGATTATCTGGTTAAATCAGTAGAGGCAGGTGCCAGAGATGTTGATGTATACGGGACAGCATTAAGTGTTATGAATGAAAGAATGTTGACAATAAATACGGAAGTAGGTAGTTTTAAAAGATAACCGGAAGTGCAAAGTGATATCTTAAGATATTGAGCTATTTATGAAACGATGTGTAAAAGATATTCAGATGTATCTTCAAAATGTTTGTGTGTAAACTTTTTTTACACCGTGTTTAGAAGAATTGGAAAGAAATGCTGTTTACTCTTTTAGGAACAATATTCAACCATTTACACCTGTCTTCAGAAATATTTTGTCTCAAAAGCAGGCGCAAAGACATGTGATGAAGATTTTGAAAGAAAAAGTAAGCTACAAAGATTTCATAAAAAATTAGAACTTTCATGTGCTTATCGTAAATTTCGTGCTTAACAAGAATGCCGGATGCTAAAAATATGGCTCACATTTTGAAAGGACTATAGGAAATTGCTTATCATAAAATTGAAAGATATGTTGAACTTTCAGTTTGACTGGAATGTCAGAAAACAGTAATGTACGTTATATTTAACTTTTTTTCCTCTTATGCATATTCTTTTAATTGCAGGTACAGCTGGTACATACGAATACTTACCATGAAGTCATTTTATCCGGAATCTTCAAAAACATCTTTTTACACATATTTTGTCAATCATCTGCTTTGATGTTTCCAATAGTTTAGATTTTTGTCCCATTTTTTCTCTGTTCTATGGAAATATTGTCAAGGGACAAGGAATAATCCGAATCTGATTACAGAGGTGTAATAGACACATTTCTTTCAAATTTTTATTCATTTCTATAAGCTACACAGCGTATTTTCTTTTCAAAATTAATGAAGAAAAGTTGTGTTAGTAGAAGTGTCACTTTCTAAGAATTATATTGAAACATTATTTTATTTGACTTGGAAAAAAATGAAAGTGTTCATGTACATTGGTAACAATGTAATCATAGAGTCAAGCAGTCCTTTTTCAATTTCTCAAAAAAAAATATGGTATTCCCCAGAAATAGTATCATTTAGTTGTTTCTTTTATTTTACTTCCACTAGTAATTTCAGTGCAAATTGATTTTGTAAAAGAATATTCTACATGTAATAAGTACATTCTTAGTCTTTTTATATTCAGGATATATTTGAAATCATACATATGTATAAAATGATTAAAGCAAAATAAAAGAAAATATGTGTCAACACACATTGTTTAATATCATTTTGTAACAGGCGTATGAAGACCAAATCACATAGTCAGACTTACGACAAAGCTATTTTTTATGAATAATATATTGTGCGCTGTACATTGTTCATTCACCACTTTGTTGTGATATCGCAGGCACAGTCTCTTAACGTAGGTCGCGGGTTTCCAGGCCTTTTAAAAATGTCCGAAAACATACCATGAAAATTAGTAATATGAATCCTCTACCTTCGTTTTACATTCTCTGAAAATTTTATAAAATTTCTGCATCGTTTTTGTGTAATTAAATCCCAAACATGCCATTGTTGTCGTTGCATTTTCGACGCTATTCTATTGAATTATATAGGAAAAACGTCTTTTTCGGCTCGTTTTGAGGCAAGATTTTGTTTTTAAAAATACCAATAACTTTTAAATGGTGCAGACGAAATTGTTTCCCCTTTGGTATTTTAACAATGAATTGATTTGAAATAAATCTATTTGAAAAAATTAATATGTCTTCGGGTTAGTTTTTGCGTAAATTAAAAATGGATATGGGCTTTTATATCGCAAAATGTAATATTTTTAAGAACGACGTCCATATCGTTTTGATACCATGTGAAAACAAATCAATCGCAATTTCTCGGGCCTTTTCCAACAAGCCGAAAAACAACCGCTTGTTTTTCCAAGCCCGAGAAGATGCGATTGATAACACATATTTAAACGTTTTTTAATACTTCCAGTGTTGATCATTCGGATCGTAATAAGACTTCTTCATTAAATTAACAATTCCAACAAAAGTTATATCTAAGTATTGTATCGACTATTCAAATCGTAAAAAAGCCTTCATTATTTGTGATAAATTGTTGCTTAATATAATATAACACTAAATTACCAATTCAAACAAAAGTTATAGCTAAATAATGATATACTGAATAATTTAACAAAACAAAACTCATCGCAGATTTCATTTTCACTGTGACGTCATAATCAAATGTGCACAAGAAATTCGCCAAAATCATATAAATTGCGTACCCAGTTTTAACGACTCAGCAAACCCGCGACCTACGTTAAGTACATGTTATTTGAATTCTACACAAGTGAAAAAATATTATCTTCATTCTTTGTGTGCGATGTAGGGATGTGCAAACAAAACCCACCGGAAGTAATATTGTATGTTTCTAAACTACATGTAAATTTATATAATATTCAAACAAATTCCCTAGTATACATATCTCATTTAGAAGGTCATTTTGTCTGTTCAACCAAGTTTATAATTGATAAAAGACCTATCGCTTATTGGCGTAAGGTAAAAGTGAATCAAAAGAGATAGCATGTAAACTACAGCATTTTTTTTTCATATTGTATGATTAATGTTCATGACTACACCTACGTCCAGGAGTATTGTTTAAAAGTCCCATTACATTCACTCTGACACATTCTGGGCTTAATTGAAAGATCCCATACATTATTCAATTGGTCGTTGCAACCATATGCAGAAATGCAGTTTCAAGTTTTCTGATCCAGTATTCTCTCGAAGTCTTCAGTATGGAGTACTTAAAATGTGACTATTAGTTTGATGATATAATTTTCTAAAATTCTAACCTTCATTAAAAGGATATATAGAGTGCATGTTCAAGATTGAAATGTTTTTATAAAAATGTTGACGGTCCCCATTATTTATTTCAAACTTGTTCCGGACAAACTCTTATTAAGTGAACCCTTGGCTTTCCAGATATAAATCAGCCCGCGTAGAGTATATTCAATTCCATAGACAACGTTTTACAAGTTTTACAAGTCAAATTTTCACCATTTGCATTTGTAACATAGAACGGAACGGAGATGACAAAAACTGTACAAAAAATGCAAATTGCTTGAAATTAATTCAGAAAATAAATTCTAAAACCTGAAGCACATGTATTTTCTTTTCTTTTCATTGTCCTTTATACCAAATAATACTAAGTGAAAAGGATTTTTAGCTCTTAAGTGCGTGCATCAGTTCTCTTTTTTCTTCGTAATACCAGTAATGACAAACTCTCGTGTGAATGAAACACATGTATTGTAAAGAGAACAATTTTCCTTTCAATGCATATCTGATATGATTGTAGTTGATCAATTTATTTTGAAACCAGAAAAGTAAGACCAGTAATTTCCATGCGAAAATTGGCCATTATTTCCCTGGGCTCTAATCCACACTTTCTCTTTGTAGTTCATTTTGATATTAACTGTAGATGAACTTGTGAGAAAATATGTACTCTTAACTATATTCCCGTCGGCGTAGTTTCGGGCCACCAGAACACCATCTTTGACAATCTCTGTATAAAAAGCTTTCCCAGATGAAACCAACACATTCCAGCTGAAAGAGTACACACCATCTTGTGGAGCTGTGAATTTTCCCGTTTTACCGTCATAACCCGATCCTTCATTTAGAGTCACCTTCTCAAATATAACAGGCTTTTCTATCCCAAGATTTGAAATATCCTTGATGAGAATTGCTTGGAATGCAACAGCACCTGAAGATTATGTAATTTAGTATGTATTTTCAGCAATATGATCATATACTGCATATTTACTGCCTTATTCAACATATACAAAATTAAATAGTATTTTAATTTACAAACCTTTGTTTTGGCATGTTTTATCTGTATATCCAAGTCCAGTACAGATTGCTTTATAATTGCTGCATTTTGCAACGATTTGCTGGGGTGTCTTTGAGATGATAATAGTGACCAGCAAACTCAAAAACATTACAAAGAGTAAGAACCTGAATCGAAGAAATGTTATTGCCAACAAGTAAGTAAAACAATACCAAGAAGTATTACTTCAAATGAGATGTTTGAAAATTTTGCAAGATTTTGTATCAATGTTATAAATAGTTATTTTCGTATTTTGTCTATGCGAATTAGGGGCAATAAAAAACGTCAGATTGACACCTCTACGTATTCCTTTAGAAACAAACTTACCTGCACATTGTTGATAGTCATGTAAAGTACCAATAAACAATACTTAGTACCTAAAATGTATTTAGAAATGTTGTGCCATTTTATACTATAGATAAAATGTTTTTATATACTGTATATTGCAGAGATTATTAAAACAATACATGATATCTAGTTTTCACAAAGAAATGACACGACATATTGATTTGTATCGCAGATACTATTACTTTTTTATTATGCTGAGTAAGGGGTACAATTAGGAAATTTACATACATTTAACATGCATAAGTTAAAATTTCTGCATGTGTACATATTGATGGTAATAAAAAAAGTGGGAGAAAATAAACTAAGTGAACTTAGAGAAATATTCCTTAACGTCCATGGTATGGATAAAATCTCATTTGAATCTTCACTGAAAAGAAAACAAAAGAAAATTTATTTCGCTAAGAAGAGATACAACTTTATACATGTTTATGAATAGATTTTGTACCTAGTGTTCTTGTTTTAATATTTCATATTTCGCCTAATTAAACTTTGTCAGTTTCTTGTCGTTTTTTCGCGATTTTTTTTTTTTTTTTTTTTTTTTTTTTTTTGTTTATTTGGTTGATTTTTCCTGTTTATTTCGTTTTAGTAATATTTTTTCTAGGTTTTTTGTCTGTTTCTATTTGTTTGTTTGCTTTGGGTTTATTTATTTCATTTTTCGACCACAGAACTTGCGAAATGATGACTTTAAACGAGATTGCTGATATTCTTGTTTCATCAACTTGTTTGTCAATAGCTTGCCTCGTTTTAGAAATTGTTCAAATGTAGGGAATGCTCTTGCTTATCGAATCAACTGGGAGACAAGAATATCGTCTCGTATGAAGTCAACAAATTTTATGGTCGATACAATGACCTTGTCGAGAAATACAATTATTCATTAGTCGAATGCTGACTGACTTTTTTCATACTAATTGTTAGATTATTATTTTCACACTGAATTTTCTACAGAATTTTCCGTTTTCCTGATCATGACAAGGAGCACATGGCGGGTATGACCGGTTTACAGGGGATGCTACTCCTCCATGTCACCTGTTCCCACCTCCGATGTTTATGATAAAGGTCCGTCCTTGCTCTGCTTCAAATTTGTATTTTTTCAACTTTTAAGCTTGATCTTCATATTTCATTGTATTTTTTCTTTTTCTTTTTTTTGTTTTGTTTTGTTTTGTTTTGTTTGTTTGTTTCTTTTTTGTTCATTTTTTGTTTGTTTGGTTTTTTCCGGGGAAGGGGGGGGGGTATCTTCATCTTTAATTGAGAACAATCAGTTATTTTCAATATTGGTCATTTCATCAGATGGAATAATCGGTTCGTTTTATTTGCAAAATTCTAAGATCCATGTGCAGCTACTTGTTTCACACTTGCTTATTTCAGTCTTTTCTCCGCAATGGTCTGTTGGTAATGATTTAATGATTAATGTTTGTGTTTACATTTTTTAAAATCAATCCATCTTGAAAAATTGACTTAAACTAGTTTTCTAGTGTAAAATTAGTAATTGGTTTGATAATTATTTAAGCTAAACATGTATTTAAAGCCCAAATTCTCGATGACATTTGACTGGTCATTCGGACATTAGACCACAGAAAAACGTCGCTTTTTATACAAAATACATATACCAATTAAACTGTGTATGATTGATTAGATTTTGGTTATTCAGAATTTACAAAAAAAGTGTAAAAATTTGAAATTATATAAGTTTCTTAATGATAATCTTTAAAACTCCCTAAAGTCAGCATTTTGCTGATGTGAAAAAAATGTGTGTAAAGGGAAGGAGGGGTAAGAAATATGATTATTATTTGGAGATAAGATAATTGTGCCCTACTTTCCACCTGCAAGGTACATGTAGGTTTTCTTCTCCTCTTTTTTCGAAGATTTTGAAGAGGAAAGTTTTTTTTCTTTAATGCCTTATGCCTTTATTGATTTTTTTTTAATCTTCAAGGAACAAATAATCATACTTTTATTATTATGTTATATATAAATGTAAACATTATGTAAACATAAGAATATAGCAGAACCCCACAGATTCTAAGACGAGGAAAAAAGTTCGATATTTCTGTACTCGCTTTTTATTTCATTATTGCTATTTTTCTCGGAATTCCTTATATATGCATAGAAAGTGGACAACAGATAATATAATGCCTGTAGATATTTATTTTCTTAGAATTTTTTAATATTTGCACGACTGATTTTTATCAGTACTGAAGAAGACTTAACTAGATACTATGACATTATATCTAAATACTCTAGCTAGAAAGATAAACAAATTTTATTGAAGAAAAAGTGCATTTGTTATGAAAGCAAACATCTCTTAGAAAGGTTATTACTAGTGTTGTCTTATATATATATATATATATATATATATATATATATATATATATATATATATATATATATATATATATATATATATATATATATATATATATATATATATATAAACATTTTTTATACAATACTCACGTTAATATGTTACATTAAAAGTAAGCATGATAATGATGAATTTATTACATCTTTTGTGGAGCACTTTATTTTATATGCATTTACTGATTGCCTCTCTAAAAATGGAAACCTTTCAAAGTATACATCATGATTTGTGTTAAGATGTTATTTATTCTACAATACAATACAATGCATAATCATTTCCATCCATAACTGGTAAAAAAAATCACTTATAATTCTGACGAAATATCACGCATATATGACGAAATATATGACGAAAATTATGTTTATGATGCGCTGATTTTCAAAAACTAAATTCTTTATTGTGATTATATTGATATGAAATATCATAAAATAAAAATATATAGATTCAGTGTTGTAGTTTTTAAAGAAACATTTTGGGGAGGATGCATTTGTCTTTCCATTTTTTCTCCTAAATTTTCAAGATACCATTCATAAATTCACAGTTAAAGACCACTCCTCCATGCACATGTAGAAATAAATGACACTTAGTTTGTGAATATCAGTAAACTGTTTGATTAAAATGTGTTAAAACAATGATGGTGCTGAAATCCTTCCCGTGAGGGGTTCTTTGTGGTATCAGACACTGGGTCATCTTTAGTACACAGGTGCGATCTGTTAAAACAATCACAGCATTTATTATCTCAGAGCAAACAGGAGCTATAGATAATCCTTTTCTGGTTATTTTTAAGTCATCACTTACCTTTAGTTACATACAATCCAGTCACCTTCGGGATCTCCGCACAATTCGCTACTCCTGCTCATGTAGACTTTGAAAATATACAAGACAATGCTTAGTGCAAAGGCTAAGGCGTTTAGCATAGACAGTCTCCTGGCTGTGGGACCTAGTTTAACTAGTAGAACAAGTGTGGAAACTGACAACCGCGTTCAAGATCTCGGAATTTGTCATCAAGAACATCCGACCAAAAAACACAACATCAGCAAGTGTTTTCATCCGGCATTGCAAGCCATCACGGGTAGGTAGAGAATTTGATTACCTGCTTATCATTTTTACAGCTTTATTTACTTTTATTTAAATAATTACTACGTATTCAACTTATAGTTCATGTCACCAGCAGATTATCGTAAAAAAAATAATATGACTATGTTCATAAAATAAAGAATAGTGAATACCTGGTATTTATTGAGAGATGTTCTTCTTCTTGGCAGAAAAAAATAACTAAATAGAATAAAATAAAAAGAAACATGAAAAATAATTATTTTATTAAGCCATTCATAAGCATTTTATTTCATCAAACATTCTATTTAAATAATATTCAGGGAGATGAAATTTTTTTGGCGTACGGCCTTAAAATTGAAATAAATTTTCACTGTAAAATTGTATGTAAAACTCGAGTTTTACACTTATTTCAATTATATATTATTGCCTACGAAAAGTGTGAAAATATTGTAATATATTTCCTATTTCAAATACGATAATTTTACTTGTTTTATTACCATTTCATTGTTATAGAAAACAATTTAGAAGAGTCCGTTTCATTTCTAAAAATATGTCTGATTCGCATTTTCTTATTCTGATGAGTAGACATATGGGCCCAGGATCAGGAAACAGACTTAGACTTCAGTCAAATTTTCAATTGTTTGTAAATGTTAATTATTGAATTAATCTCTGAATCTGCAGAAAACAACGCTTTTTTAAAGAAATATTGAAAAATATTTTAATTTTGATCTTCTAGACTTCTACAACATTTTAGTATAATATGAAAATTTCGACTTAATCTTAAGATATTTGATGATCCTGGAGCCTTGATATCTTTGCCCGTCTGTGTATGATCCATTTAACTTAAGAATATTATTGCTTATTTAATATTGTACAAATATATGAAGTTTTTTTTTCAAGAACAGACTGTTATAATTGTCTTACTATAAATATCAAAAAATGAATGAAAGACAATTATGCATGTAGAAGTGCAATCAGTATCTAATATCCTTTTAGGAATTATTATAGTAAGTCAGTTAGATACTAATTGCACTTCTCCATGTATAATTGTCTTTCTTTCAGTTTTTTTCTTATATTTATAGTAAATAAACAACTTTATTCATGGTTCCTTTGAATAATCATATGACTTTTTTCTTTCTTTTTACCAAATAACGCGACAATGTCCTGATAATCAAAAGGATATATTTGATTCTATTCTAACATGCTGGTATCTGAATAACTCCCTCATTATGTACATATTTCTGTGAATTTCAAACGAAACATTTTCAAATAATTATAGCAAAAAAGAAAAAGAAAATTTTTTTTAAAAAATGAACATTATTGCAACGTGTTTTATTTTTTTAAACTAACCAGAAAGTTGACAAATTCGAAATAAAAATAATTCTTTTAAATTGTGATTTCAAGTTTAAAAAAAACAAACAAACAAACAAACACAGTTATAATGGTTAATTCGTTTTATCACCATCTTCTATTTAGATGATACAAAGGATAGCACCCTCCAGATTGAGTTGTGTCAGAATGATTTATGGCACGCCTTTCACAACTTGGGGACAGAGATGATTATCACCAAAACTGGAAGGTCAGACCATAGATTTAGTTCTGTGTATGTGATACTTTTCCTGATATTTATTCCTCAAAATGATTTAAGGTTCACCAATTTTTGGTTTCTAACCTCTACTTTTATTTCAAACAAGAAAATGGTCTTGTTCATCACATACTTCCCTTATGTATTGCATTTCTTTTACTTCCATTTTTAGATATGGCAGTTTATTCTATGCTTGGTATTTGAGGTATATAATGTCTTCCTAGGTTAAGCAATGAATTTCATATTTTAAATTTTCTTTACCCTATACTTGCAACAATTCTTTTAAATCAAGAGTACCGGTAGTAAATCTAACTTTTAGTACTGTTCCATCAAAAACATGTCCAAACAAGCATAAGATTATCGTATATACATGTAGATCGCTTTTTCTTGCTTTGATTTACCTCATATCAATTTGACTAATATTGTTCATATATCTAAATGCATATACATGTACTTCATGGATGTTTTCTTTTATGCATAAACTGGGGGGGGGGGGACGTTTGAAGTAATAATTATTTTTTGAGAAAAAAAAATCATTTTTGTTTTAAATCAGTATATTTTAATGTGCTTTGCAATTTATTTTGATTTTCTTATCATAGCAGATACCAGAAATTAGGAAAAAAAAGATGAAAATTAAGTTAAGTTTATAATGAAATTAGTATTTAATTTGGATATATATTTTCGTATATAATTATGTATATATATATATACATTTTGCTTGAATTAATGTCCTGTAGGCCTCTCCTAGAAGAAAAAATATCTTACCCTATGATTATGAATCATCAAATACATTTACCTTTACTCAGCTGCTCAGCCCTCGTAATTTTGTAGTTTGGATAGATTGGGGAAATTTTGTACATTATTCACTCTGCCTCATATTAAAATATTTCAGAGTTTGTTTGATCATCAATAATATTAATGAGTATATGGCTCAGAATCAATATGAACAAAATTTTAGATTTTGAAATTTTATATGATATATTTGTAATCATGATGATACTTAGTTTCACTTTACGTGTATATTCATTTCATTTTTCAAGAAAGGCTCGTTAGTGATTTATTTAACTGGAACTTGCGTTGAATCAGCGAATTCTTGGAATATGATTATTAAACATCATGAGACCGATGTATAATATATATAAACAACAAGAATCCCATCGGCCACAACTCACACTGAGTAAATTTAGCCTTTTTGTTCTTAATCGGGAGATATTTTTGTATTTTCCATTTGTAATAAAGCTATTGATCATGATCGCCTAAGATGGCCCTACCTTACCCATAGGGGTCATTGATTTAAACAAACGTGAATCACCACTTCCTCAGATACTTCCATATAAATATGTCTAATCATGACTTTGCCACTTTCAAGAAGCTTTGTAAAGATTTTTTTTTCTATATATTCTTATATAAAGTTCTCTTATTGTGGCCTCGCCCTATCCCCAAGGGTCATGATTTGAACTGACGTAACTCAACAGTACCTGAGGGTATTTCCGTTAAAATTTGACTAATCATTGCTTTGCTGTTCTTTAAAAAAATATATATAAATTGTTTTCCTAAAAAATAATTTTTAAAAAACTTGATCGCCTGTCCAAGTTGCTCCAAAGAAGAAGAATTTTAAAAGATGTCATTAAGTAATCACTAATTCTTAAATATGTCCAGTTAGACAGACGGAAGGACAAAATAAGATCAGAAAAGCTCACTTGAGCTTTCAACTTCGTTGAGCTAAAAAGTTATTGTCACTAAATGAAGCATTCAAATATCGTTTGCAAGTTTGATTAGGTGTATTACTTCCAATATTCTCAATATTTTACATTTTAATTGCAAACGGCATGTTTATTTACAAACATTGAAAGTCCTCTTGCTTTTAAAGCAGATGATAATATAACTCGAATCGATTTTTTTTTTTTTTTTTTTTTGTGCTAATTTTAATTTTTTTTTCTTTCTTATTTCTACTTTATTTTCGAGGATTATTTATTTATTTATTCCAATACGTGTATGGCTTGTTTTAGGCGAATGTTTCCTGCAATTAGAGTGAAACTTCATGGACTAGACCCCAGCTGTAAATACTCAGTTTCACTGGAATTTACTCAGATAGATAAGCAGAAATATCGCTACGTTTATCACAGGTATTATATTGTTAATTTATTATTTTTTTTAAAAGCATCTTTTCATTTATGTATCAATTCATTCACGAAATCTGACAATTAAAGTAGGAGTACAAAATACGCTGAATATTTCAGAAAAAATTGCAATTCCCCAAACAACTGCTACACAAAAAAGTGATCTACCATTAAACCTTTTCCACATTCTTGTACACACGACAAATAATATGTTATTGTATGTCTCTATAATGAAAACATGCAAAGAAAAGTGAAGAAAAGGCAATGTTGTATTTTAATTTCCAGTTCAAAATGGATGGTTTCTGGACTTGGAGATGATATGATACGAGATCAGATTTACCGCCATCCAGATTCTCCGGCAGATGGCGCTGTGCTTGAATCCCAGATCGTTTCTTTTGAAAGAATTAAACTCACTAATAACGACTCGCCAAAATATGGACAGGTTAATGAGACTTGAAAATTAATTTTGGAAGAACTGAAGTTGAATTTTTAAATGCTAATACCGATCAAAGCTGTGTTTTGCTATGAAATCTTTACACCATTGCAGTGCAGATGACAAAAGCAAAAATTGCCTTTAACAACTGGGATATAAACGATAAAGCACAATTTTATGTTAATGATTTTAACAAAGCAAAATTACGAGGAATAAAATTAATATATTCATAGTATTCAATTTATTTGCATATGTTGCAGATTTCACTTCTCTCTATGCAAAGATTTGTTCCCCGACTTCATGTTCACCAAATATCGCACGACGGGGTAACAGTCCGTCACTTTATGGCGGTTTTTCCGCAAACATCATTTACCGCTGTTACAGCCTACCAAAATCAAGAGGTATATCTTATATAATTGAAAACAATTCAAAAATACAAAAAAATGTGCACTTCCTTTTCTTTATTCTTTGTTTTAGATTTACAATTTTAGTACATTTATTTAATAATATGCAATGTTTACTTCCATTCATAAGATACATCGTATCAAATGTAACTGTTTAATAACAAATCATCAATAAAGTTATGAATGTACATTAATCAACATATGTTTACATAAGATTATCAAAAATAAATATCAACATTAGTAATCTTGTTATAATCTACAATATTGACATAGGATCAAACAAGTGTCCCATACTGTGCCAATACTTGATCTGTGTATCCCCCGATATCTATCTAACACCCTCCTATCTGTCAGAGCGTCAATACTAGCTGATACACAGTATCTGCGGTGTTAATCTGCTAGACAAATGATCATTTCCTATTTCTCTAGATAACCAAACTGAAGATAGCCAGAAATCCGTTTGCCAAAGGCTTTCGTGAGGCCGGGAAAAACAGGTACTTTTATATGGTGTGAATCGGTCCTTCATTTGTTTACACATCATTGATAATTACGATTAAGCTCATACGTCTGGCTACAATTTTTATCTTTTATGATAAGTAGTCGCTTGATTTTCAATTACAGGTATTGTTTTTACCTTTTTTCACGTCATCTACAAAGAGGGTAGATAATGATAAAACACTTCTATCAATAATTTATCTATAAGTGATATATACTTGTCATATACCTGTGATGTAGCTGCTTCTATGTGAAGGACATGTCCTTGTTTAGTGAACCACTTAGAGTCCTAGTGATTTAACTTAGCATTATTAATAAAATAAGTCCCTTCTGTGTCAAAATTCAGAAAACAAAATTAAGAATAAAGATTTACCAAGTATTTTTTCTTAGTTTTTTATTGAAAACAAATTTCAAAGTACACGCATATCAGAATTCTAATCAATTATCTGATTTTCAAAAATTCGCAAAAAATGTGAAGATTTTTACCTTATTTTTTAGAAGTTCTTTGGAAGCCATGCTTGATTCCTTGGCTTCACATGGTGTTCGTCCTCATTGTACTCCGATCCCGAACAAAAGGCAGCAAATAGGTACAGTATTAACATTCTTCACAACATAAAGTCTTATTCAACATTAAGTTAATGCAGTATTTTTGTAAAATTCGAACAAATATCACTCTTGTTCTATACAAGATAATATGATAAAGAACAATATAATTTAGGCATTTAATGTTACCTACAGCATTGTGTGAATTAATATACGTATAAATAAATATGAGTCCAAATTCGTCAAAATTATGTAGAGTATCAAAATTCGGTAGAGAATGGTTGTGCTTGTAGTATTACACGCCAAATATTAGTATTAGGTTGAAAAGAAATCAGTAATTTCTTAAAATACACTTTATCTCTGAGCCATATATGTTTAATATCAATTAAAAGGGACATATCTTGATGAATTCGGACCAACGAAAACTGGTCCAAGTCCTAGCATATATTAGCAGGTTATAAAAATCTTTATTTTAAAATTGCGTTCAATCTAAATTCAGGCATATGGGTAAAAAATCACATAGAGTGGTATAAACTGTGCCATTTTTAAAATGATTCGTTCATTAGATGTCACTGTTGTAAGCTTATCCTCTGTCAAAATCATACATGTGTACTTATAGGACCAAGAGATGAGACAGATAACAGTCTGGCTTTGTTTCTCTCTGGTAAAGAGATGAAACTATTTACGAATGTATGGAACAATTCTTCGTGTAACAGTGTAACTTCAGAGAAAGTCCCAAAATATCCATACCTTCTTCACGTCCAGCAGCCACCATTACAGCTAGAGGTTCAGACGCCTTGTATAAACTTTGAATCTGTAACTGCTGTTGAGGGTTTTCCGAACCAAGCACAGCCTGCACAAGTGTCCGCTTGTATAGAACGACATTCGGCACAGCGTCCGGCCAACAGTCCAGTCTGGTGCTCAAAAATGCCCCTCCCTGTTTCCCCAATATGTGACTTCCAGTCTCCAAATGTCTCTTCTCACCTATTACATATGTTTAGACATTCCTTAAATAAATGAGCATTCTTGAATATGTGCATTTATTAAAAGTTTTTGTTTAAAGCATTGACGAGAATGTAAAAAAGCATATCATCTACTGTGATATATAAACATTAAAATTCCTAATTCCTGGGTTTGGTATGGGCAGTTCTGCCGCATGAAGTAGTAAAAATGTTTACCTTCTTCACAATTTGTAAAAATATTTGGTCTCTTTTATTTAGTTCTGTTCTCGACTCCTTCGCTGTGCTAGTAAGTTGGCCAATAACTAAAATTCTAAAATTGATACAAAAGGAAAACAATTTTGTTAAATAATTATAATTGTATCAGCTGATGTGTGCGTGTTTATATTTCAACGATGCTTTACATTTTGTAAGAATTTACAAATTCTTACCCAATTTTAATCTTTTGAAATATTGCAATTTAATTCTACGATTAGAATAATTAGTTTAAACAGGTGTAACCCGCATAATTTTCTAGTTATATCCCAAGGTATTTTGATGACAAAGAGGGGTCATAGACTGAAGGACTTGGAAAGAATCTTTCAACACTGAAATGATTATAATTCGCACTAATAGGTAATAACTGCGACTCTAAGAAGACAAAACATGGGGTCCTTCATTAATTTCTAATCCTCTCTTAATTTGCTGTCCAGAGCTATCTTGTATAAAGTGATTTCCTACATTTGTCACTGGATTCAGTTCGCCCTAGTGACGTGTGTGTCAACATCTGGAGAGGAGCCGAACTATTGTGGTGATGGTTATCATCCTTTATGGTTCTTTGACAAATCAGAAAGATCCTAGTGTTTGCTCTTTATTCGCCATGTAAAGATAGCGGCCGAGGTGATACTGTCACGAGATTGCAGGTGCTATGAAATGTTTCTATGGAGAAAGACTCGCTTCTGGGCGGATGTAAGGACTCCATGAGCTGCTAATGTATTAACCTTGGTCTTTAATGTATTGACTTATGATTACTGCATCAGATGAAAAGGATTAAACAGATATTTTCTGTAAGATCCCTGCTCCACTTGGACACGGGCAGCATGAAACTCGTAATAAAATGTTAGAGAATGGGTCGAGTAGTGTTGAAAAATACCTAATTTTTTCCCCCCGAGATTTACATCAAGAATTTGAAGTACATCACCAGAATTTGTAAAGAGTTCTTTCTCAAATCAATCATTGATTTATGTTTGCAGTAACTATTAATAATCGCTCTTATGTTTCATGCAAAGATTGTATATATATATATATATATTAGGGATGTCAGTTTGTAATCGGTTAACCGGTTACTCGGTCGGAACGTTGGTAATCGGTTAGAAAATCAGTAATCGGTTAGTCGGAAAAAAATTATATATGTGTAAATTTGAACACAATATCCTGAAAATTTAATCACAAAATAAAAATATATGAAATGTTAGCATTTTCACCCATCTATTTCTTAGGCTGGTCTGGAGATAATTAAGACTCTCCTAATTAGCATCGTGGGGGTAATTAGTCAGACTTCGAGATGTTAATTGCAGTTTAAACACTATGTCGCTACCCAGCCGGTCCTGTGTTTCTTTAATGATTAATTTCAATTGAATGATCGTTGAGTACCACGAACAGATTATAATGTGTACCCTACCCCTTTTATCTTTTGCAGTTACAAAACAAATCATGTTATTAAACAAACACTGTAAATTAAGCGATAATTCAGACTTAATTTTGATTATGTGAAAATGCAGGTTGAAATTGTGAGACATCTCTTCTGAATTTTTTTAAATACATGTATACCTGATTCTTCAGGCATGTTTCATGGGTTTCTTAATTTTTTCTTTTTTCTTTTCTTTTGCTTTAAAATTGAAATGAAAAATATACTCGTATATATTGTTCGGATAAACATAATATTACTACATGTAACATCTTTATAGTCTGTCTATTTAAGTAGAACTTACAATAATGAAATACGTCGAGAATTTTTGATACGATTAACCGATTAATCGGTCGGAACGTCTTGCGGTTAACCGATTGGCAATTCTGCATTCGATTGCCACCCCTAATAATATATATATATATAATATATATATATATATATATATATATATATATATATATATATATATATATATATATATATATATATATATATATATATATATATATATATATATATATATATATATATATATATTAAGTATGTCAAAATATTTATTTTCCTTAGTCGATTATTCGATTCCATTATTCGAACGATAGTCGATTATTCGGAACACTTTCTGAAAATAAAATTTTATTTCAAACTTCACTGGTACATGACGTATTTATAACTCAAAAACCCTTTTAAATATGTTTAAATATACTTAAATATGTTTAAAAAGTAACATAAGAATTAATGCAAAGTAACGTTTGATAGCATGATTATATGAAATAAATTTAGAAATCTAATTCTCCAAAATTTATGATCTCCCCATCAATCGAATTCATAAATTGGTCTGTACATGCAGAGTGAGCATTCAAAAATTGCTAGCGGATATTTTTAAAAGCTTTATTATGAAATAAATTGGAGGGGAAGGTAATTTCACACTATCCAAACGCCAGTGGTTGTTAAATTATTAAACAGTTACTAACTGCTTATTCATTAATTGATTGCTCTGGCTCTCAGAATGTCCTTAATTTTTTAAAAATGCAAGCGAACTGTTTTAATAATTAGCGTCAAAACATGTCACAGCTATTGTTTGTTCCTTGCATTCGAGCAATCTTGAAATAAAAGATAATTGGAACATCGTATAAAATCAAGTCCAATTAATTATTTTATAAACAAAGCCCAGTAAATATATTGATGGTTGATTTATTACAAAAACAACACAAACAGTAACTGATAGATAATTCTCGCGGTAGTGAAGCATTTATAATTACTGTACTTTCTATACACACACGGAAAATCAAGTTTTTTGTAGAGGAAATTTATCTTATCAACTGTCTCCGAGGAAAGACGGTTTCTCAATTTTGTAATGAGAATTCCATATCGTTATCACTCTTTAATTGCATTTTTAAAATTATAATATTCGAATGTCGTTTCATCATTCGATCGTCGGTCCATTCGTCTGACAGTCGAATAGTTGACATCCCTAATATATATATATATATATATATATATATATATATATATATATATATATATATATATATATATATATATATATATATATATATATATATATATATATATATATATATATATATATATATATTACGTTCCTTTTTTAAATACTTTTACATCACTTTGATTTAGATAAAAATAAAATAAGGCTCTTATCTTTTTTCCCAACAATATGTCTATTTAGTGTAGAATTGGATTTCGATGTAAGCTCGCATACAGTGCAGGGAACTAATTTTGTTACATAAACCAGCATCAGCATAAGCATTAGTAGCATCAGGATCGAGATAGCATCAGCATCAGCATTTAAAAAACAGCATTACCAGGATCAGCATCAGCAAGCAAAGGATAAAACCAGCATTGACCTACATAAAATCAGCATTATCCTACTAGCATCAGAAAATCAATGAGTTTTAATTCAGTAAAAAAATCAAAAAAGAAAGAAAGAATGTTGGTTAAAATATTCACATTATTGATACATAGTGAGATATTATGATCAAATAATTGTAAAAGGCACTTTTATTGCTTTAAACGGCAATGCTGAAATTCATTATCTACTTCCTGTAGCATGATGCTACTTCCGGTAGCATTGACCTAATTATAAAACAGCATCAGGATAAGGATTACTAGCATTAAATCAGCAAGCAAAGGAAGCATTCAAATCAGCAAGCAAAGGAAGCATTCAAATCAGCATCGATGCTGTAACAAAATTAGTTTCCTGCACTGTAACTTCATGAATGATCATTCTTTCAGTATCAATTTATGATTTATGTTTGGAATTTTCAGTCAACTTGATATCTTCGAAAACTCCAAAGGTTTGAGGTACTTTATCAAGTCGACACTCGAATTTGCTAAACCATCAGGGTAACCAAATATCTTCTTTTTCTGGCATTCAACAAACCAATGTGGTCGTGTTGGGATTATATATTGTTACTAAAAAGATAATAACAGAGTATTTCTAAAGAATTTTTTGAGTGAAATATAGACATCACAATTCTACTGAATTTACCCAAACCAATAACAGTAAATTTATCATCATCATGTTAAATAAGTTAGCAAAGCTAGCAATATTTTTCACTTCGTAAACATTTTCAGGTATGTAAATTTTTCTTTCATCTTTGACCAAAATTACAGTTAAATACAGTGAAATTCACCTGTTTCTCTCATTATATCTATACAGAGGTCACATTATGTACCTTATCTATCTACTTGTATATTTAAAAAACCTTCTTATACATTCAATATATAACTTGTGACTGATACGTCTAAACTTCCTTAAACTGTAAACAAGATCACATGGTAACAAAGAAAAATATTTTTTTTCTAGGCCAACCCGTTTTGTTCTATAATTAACAAATTTTGGAGAGTTAAAAATATTCAATTAAACTTTCTTTACACTCATTGTGGTCTTTCGGCTTTTTAGGTAGACAAACATTTCTAGGGACAAATTGGTCATTCCATTTTCAAAGTCATGTTTGATAAGTATATTTCTGTGAAAACTATGGCGTGTAAAACGTTGCATTATTATACTTTTTTGTTATTCTTATTCAAAAATGTTGTTTTTCTTATTCTAAAACATATCATTCCTATTCGATAAAATGTGTTTCCTATTCAATAACTTGTTATTCTTATGTGAAAAAATGTGATTTCTATTCGATGATTTATCATTCCTATTCGATAAGTTGTTATATTTTGAAATAGGAATTATATTTCTTCCAATTTATCGAATAGAAATGAAAATTATCGAATATTGAATATCGAATATCAAGCTCAAAAGTCCATTAAACAATACGAAATAGGAGCAGAGCAAACACGGACCTCCAAAACATCAGAAGTGGGATCAGGTGCCATGGAGGAGTGAGCATCCCCTGCCGACCGGTCACACCCGCCGT